ATTTTTTTAATTTTTTTTTTATGTTCGTGGTACCTTACCCTACATGGCATTTGTCTTTGGAGCGCGAGTTCTGGCGCACTCTGTATGTGCATATGATGTAAAACGTTACTCCTTCAACTTTTAAAATCGCGATATCTCAGGAATGGTGATTCTTGGAAAAAAAGTATAAAGACCATTTTGTAGATAATTTTAAGATCTATAATTTTCGTCTAAGCTACTTTTTTGATAAAACTTGCCGTTTTCGAAAAAAATCTAAAAAACGTCAAATATTGACCTTTGACCCCGAATAACTTTTTTAGCACACATGGGATCGATGGGGACTTTTGACACTTTATTTCTAATGGTATACCCAAGGTCTCCACCAAAATTTAGCTCTGTCGGAATTTTCGTTATTTGACCACTATTTTTATGACTAATTTGACCGGACTATTGTTCGATTTTTGTTGGCAAAATTTTAATTTATATAAAAAAAAATTAATTTAATATAAAGTAGATAGTAGATAGTTGTAATCCTTTAGATCATGATCTTCATGAGAAAAATGTTTTATTTGGTAGGTTGCCATTAAAAAAAATAAATGATCTGAAAAGTACAGATTTCTTAGAAAGGCTTAATTACTAGACTATGAAAATGGCTTGTCTGAGGCAAAACCAATTTATTTATTCTCTTTCGTTCATCGTGTGCAGTTCAAGAAGCCAAAAATGCAAAGTTTAGTGTACTCGAGGAGAAAAATTTATCCCAACTTTGATTTTTTATTGTTAAAAGTTTTGCATATTGATGCATATTTGGTATATATTGGAGCATATTTTTTATTATCTTGTGCATATTTTGTGAAAAATCGAGCATATACAGGATGCGCCAGAACTCGCGCCCGAGAGAAAATTTTCAGGTAAGATAAGATACCAGGAACACGGAAAAAATGTTTAAAATTTTCTATCTGTAAAAAAAATTTGACATTTATTTTTTGACATTTGACATTCTTTTATGTCTATTTAATCATACTGATGATCTTGTATATGTTTTTTTACAATTATTTAGTAAAGGTACAAAAATTTTGACAATAAAAGCCACAAATAACATTGAACAGAGTTACAATTTAGGATACAGCTTCCTTGTTTCCTTTTTTAATAGCTTATAGCAAAAAAACTTGTAAAATTATTTTTCCAACAGAAATAAATAGAGTCAAAGTGCAAAATTTAAAACCTCATAACTTCGAAATTTTTATAGATAATTTTTTTTAACATTTTTTCGATGTTCCTGAGATCTTACCTTATATGGCATTTTTCTCTGGGGCGCAAGTTTTGGTGCACCTGTATATGCGCATATTTTACGCATTTTTCGTGCATATAATCCGAGCCTTACTCATAACGAACGTATATCACTGTTGGTAGTTTTGATTTTTCAACTAAACAAAGTTAATTTGTCGTGTTAGTCGTATTAATTTTTGATAAAATTACCGCTGGTGGAAAATTTGATTGCAACTAACGTGATAATTTTTTACAGTTTTTCAAAAAAAGTACAACTAATTGTTGAGAAGCGACACAAAATTAAGCTGTACATGTTAGTGGCGTGATTTCGCCCTTTTTGTATTCAAACGAAATTTAAATGTGACCAGACAGATGCAAGTTTTATCTTATTTGTATGTATAATGCAAAGCCTTTTTACAAAAACCGTTTCGGTGTAACACAAATGGCTACAATTTTATAATTCAGCGAATGCGATACAAGTGCCTACATTTTATTGTATCAAGCTTTACTCAACGAATCACTTCAAACGTATCTTATTCCGAGTATTTCAAAGCTCGGTCCACATTTTTGTGTAAACATAAAAATCCACTTTGAGCAAAATAGAACAATTACAGATTTTATTCACCCAAAAGGTTAACAACATACAATACAATATCGTAATGAAGTTGCCTCCGGGTGCCTTCCTTCCGGCACTAATCAGATTATACTCGCATGTGTGCCTTTGATTGTGAACCGATACGTTCAAAAAACTCAATTAATTATTCCATTGAATATTTATAAGTAAAATATCGAGTGACATTACTAATTATTTTGAGCGTGATCAAAGCCAAAGGAGAGTTTCAGTAGTATTTGATTAAAACCACAAGATCGTGCCCTTTAGACCACGAAGAGTTTACAATTATTAAAAAATTGGAGGAAATCCAACTCAACTCAATATTTTTTATATTTCCTCCAACTACATCGTGGGACGTTACATCGCCTTATAATGTTATTGGCAAAAAGTTGAAGGAGGATACTTGAATTTTCGCCGGGGAACTGTGAAAATTGATTTTATTGGATTAAATGCTTTAGAGATTTTGTGCGAGAGTTTAAGGGTTTTTCATTCAATGGAAATATAATTTAAAACAGTTCTGCCCCAATTCTGAGAGCACCATATTATGTAATAATTTCTATATTTTTCTTAAGCAATTAAATGATAGGTAAAGAATCAGAATCAGAATAAATTTTTCCACTTGTCTTCAACTAAATGCATTAAAAATTTGACAAATTCTTAAAATTTTTGAGTGGTAAAACGTGTTAAGATTTGAAGTTTGAAGTTTCCACGATAGTTGTACACAAGAACTAACACAGGTGTTAGGTGTAGTTCTAAATTAAAGTTAAAACTTTTAAAACCTTTCATTGTTTATTTCACTTAAAACTATATAGATTGAAATATCTTAAGCTTATAAAAAATAAAGGCTTTTAAACTGCAAACAAAACTGTGAATTTTATTATGAACTTACCACTAACGTAGAACTTTACATCAACAAGATTCATCAGCGCTTTGAAATAATTTTCAATTAATAGGCATCTCATTAATCTTAAAACAAACAAAAACTTCGTAGAATTTAAGACTTGAGTGGTGTTTGCGGTTCGATTTTTATTTTCTTTAAAATTGACAAATAAATTCTTGTCTCATTCAAAGTGGTGTAAGGAAAGCAAGGTGTCAAAACTTTTAATATAATTACAGAAAAGGTCTACAAAGTTTTTAGTCACGAAACCAGTCGGTAAATCCTGAAACTTGTAAGTTTTTTTCTTTGCCATCAAGCAATATGAAATCCGTTCACGCGCTTCTTTAGATTTTGCGCCAATATTGGCATTCTATTAGCTATCACGAATGGAAGGCTATTCCCCCTTCCCGTCCGCAGAATTCCACGTCCCTTGGGTATTTGGGAATACAACAGGGAATAAATTCTTCACAAGTATTTTGCTTAACTTATGCAATCAATCAGATTGTAAAATTAGGAACTCGGAATAATATCAAATTCGTTGAATCTGTTACAAATAATTATTCTAAATATATTAAAGTCGTAATATAGAAATACTAGGTATTTAAAATTTTCCACAAAATGTGCAAGTGAGAAACTGAGATAAGCTAATGATAATCCCCATCAAAATTTCATTCAATCTTTTTATAATGCACATATTTAAAGCGAAAAATGCAGACAGATAACACTTTACCTACGTGTCTGATGTCGAATCGATATCTTAATAAAAGCAACAGGCATGCGCCCCTAACCAGACAGATTAAAACTATTATCTTCCGCGATCCTTTCTGTTGGGAGAAATAACTAATGAAAAGTTTAATCTCTTGTAATGCAGTTGTGATCGGCTCGTAAAATTTATAGAAATTCGCTTATACAAAGGTAAATAAAAGCCAATAGAAAGATTTTCAACTTAAATAAGTAACACTTTGATTGTTTAAGATGGAGGAATAGTAAATCTTAGAACTAGTGAAATGTTAGAAAAATAAAAACATCCAAATCTCTGATCTAAATATTTCTTTCATTAGATAACATATTCTACCTCTTTTAAATACATTTTATGTATTTCTTCTCTTTCATATACAGGGTGAGTCAGAACTGGCGCCCCACGAAAAATGCCATGTAAGGTAAGACCAGATACATGGAAAAAATATTAAAAAATTCTATCTATAAAAGTTTCGAAGTTATGAGAGTTTAAATTTTGCACTTTGGCTCTATTTATTTCTGTTGGAAAAATAAGGCTATTAGAAATGGAAACAAGGAAGCTGTATTCTAAGTTGTAACTCTGTTTGATGTTATTTGTAGTATTTATTGAAAAATTTTTGCACGTTTGTTAAATAATTATTATTAAAAAACATATACAAAAACATCAGTATCATTAAATAGACATAAAAAATGTCAAATGTCAAAAAATAAATGTTAAATTTTTTTTCATGTTCTTGGTATCGTATCTTACTTGAAATTTTTCGCTGGGGCGCAAGTTCTGGCGCACCCTGTATGTACATTTTACAAGAGCGGATGAAGTTAGGCTAGTTCTACTAGTACTTTTAAGTTAATAAAAAAATCACTGTCGCTGTTGCTTCAATGTTAATGGGCTTCATCACATATTTGGTGAAAATTAACAAAATTATTGTAAAAATTCAAAATTCTTTTCAAGAGCCTTGGTATTTGTTTACATCAAAGCAATAAAAATGTTACTACAATATTAAATAGTTACATATGCATATAAAAAAGACACTTTGTGTTTCTAAAATTCATTAATAAACTTAGATGATATATCAAATAAGTATATTCTGGGATAGAAGAAGTAAAAAACATTTGAAATAGTCTGCAGGTAGAATTTTCAGGCTTTGCATCATCTTATAAACAAATCGAAGGTTAAATATTGGCAATGTGGTAAGCAATCGTATCAAACAACTAAAACCATAAAATAATGTGTTTAAAAATATTTAAGCTATTTTATGACTAAACGTCAAATAAACCCTGATATTGTTTACCATTATTCGTAATTTTTAATAAAAAAATATTTATTTATATGCACTGAAATGTGATAGTATTTAGTAGTAAATAGAATTACTTACCTATTGGTAACAAAAATAGAAATAAATTAATAATAATTTAATGCATTGCAACAAAAGTCTCTATTATATAATGATAATATTATAATATACTCACATTAATGAGTATATTATATTAATGTAAATACTGTTGCATTAAATATACAAATAAGTACAAAAATTTATTGATCGTATCTGAAGTATAAAAACAATGAACATTATATCATTTATTTCAATTACGCTACGGAATAGGATCTAGAAAAAATGTGTTGCTTCTGGGAGGTGGATGGTTTGGGATTTGTACCACTGTTGTCCCCAGAAGGATTCTCAGTAACACTTTTATTGTCTTCCAGAGCTTCGGTAGTTCCATCCTAGAAATAATAAACAGTGCTTCAAACAAGATTTAATGTAAAGTAACCGCTGTTTTTATAAGACTTCATAAAACATCATAACTTTTACACACAGCTTTATTGACATTAATGAGCCTCATAAAATGTGGAAACTAAGTAAAAATTATTTGTTAATACTGTCAGAGAGAAGAATTTCAAATAAACAATACGGAAATTCTAGGTAGGCGTGAAGTAGGTTACATCGGCTTCAACTGTAAAATTTTTACAGGATCAAACGATGTTAATCGGAATCTATCAACAAGAAGTCTAATTAATCATAGAAAGAATCCGGAAACTTTTGCAAAGTTCATTATTTAAAATTGTTGATATTAGAGAGCAAATAAACGAAACGAACATATTTATAAAATATAAAAAGTAAATTTTCAGATTTAACTTAACTCGGATTGAATTTGCTCGACTTCAGCATCAAACCATTTTCGAAACAACTTGTAAAATTTTGATGTGTGTATAAAATTTGTAAACCAATTTGTAGAAACTTCCGCAAAACTTCAAACGTACTTTTACAAAGAATGTATGAAAAGATAATTTGAGATCAGTGAACATGTTAAGTAGTTTCCAATAATCGCCTTTATCTTTATTTTAGATACAGTCAAAGCAAATAAAACTTAAAAAGCTCACTTCTTTGAAAGATAAAACTTTGCCCTCGGTTTTGTTGTGAATGAAAAAATGGCTGTATGAATATTTTATCATGTCTCTGATCGATTGCTCATATGCAGAAGAAATCGATTCATTTCTTAGTTGTGCAGATTCATTTTATAGTAGTGAGGAAGAAAATTGCTTTCGTTTCGTGGAGAAGTTGGTTAATACCTTTGTAAAAGTAAAATTACGTTTATTTGCAAACTTGTTCTTTAATTTAATAATATTTTTCATTGCAAACACAAATAAAATGCAAATTTTCTAACGAACTTACGGTGGAAAGTTTGCCGCGAGACCTGGAAGCGTATAGAATCCAAAGCACGTAGAAGAACATAATCAGTGCCGGTAAAAAAAATGCTGCATATTCGGGCGTCCCTCGAGCCATCGCCTGATACAAACCGAATAAAGAAACAAAAATTGCTATCACAGTCGCTACATATCTTCCAGTTCTACGGCGCTCCTCCTGCAAATAAATTGTGATTAAGACACGGGTGGGTAATCCAAATCTTGGAAATCTTAATTAACGAGAGAAAATGCAGTACGCACATAATGAATGAAGGAAAATGTTTCATTTTCATTTTAAGCACAAAGCTTTTTCTTTAATGGAAACAAAGTAATTATGAAAATAAATGAATGTACTCACGATATTAGCCACAAACTCGACTACATAAAATTCTAAATGTCTAAATAAAATACAACTGAAAGCACTAGATAATAATGGTAATAAAGTGCAGCAAAATTCCAAGTGGTATCTACTCACATTTTTCAGTAGAAAGAAATATTTTTCTGAGAATTTAATTGCAGCATTTTTCTCGATAAAAAAAACAAAGATTTTTTGGAATACAATAATTATACAACAGGTTTATTCAAATTGAGTTAAAAACATGAAAGGGTTTGGTTGTTTAAAAAGGATCAAATCTGCGTACCTTTGTTACCAGTTAGTGGGTAATTCATTATTGTGTACAGTCGAGTGATGCTAATTTGCTTGACCATTTCTGTTTCTGTAGGCATAATATGACATTGGCAGTACAATGATTAAAAGCTTTGTTTCAGAATTTCAACATATTAATTTGGTGATAGAAACGATATTAATGAATTAATGATACTTCAAAAGCAGCTGTGCAATATTTTAAAATAATATCGTTGAGCTGCCTATACCTACGAGTATATCGATTATAAAGGTATTTTAAACAAAGAAAGTTTGAACTTTATAATCGGCCCTAATTTAAGCAAGTTTTAATCAATAAACGAAATATTGATTTACTGTCGTCAAAGAATGAAAGACTGCTCTAAAATCATTTAAGAAATATTTTTTTAAAAACCAAAAAAAAACACGTATGCTTCTAAGAAGAATTATAATATAAGTTGTCCGTTCAGATAACAAATGTTATCAGTCCTTAGGGCATACCATAAATTTTATTAAAGAAATTTAAAATTTCGTTACGTTACTTTTTTAGACATGTTTTTATATATAAATTTATAATGAGAAAAGTACTCGTAGGTGTGTTTCATTGAATTTTTCTTTAAAAAACCTCATTTCATTCGTAAATAAAACCTTCAAGAAAAACTTAAACAATTAATTTTGCAAAATTACATCAATGAAATAATAATTTTTTGTGAAAATTGTCCCAAAGGTAAAAAATAAGTACACTAGAAAGAAACTAAATAAAACAAAATGAACTCTAGAGTTACAGATTTTTCTGAACTAGATACCTACATAGATACTACACAGACTGTTCCACATAAAACTCCGCAAATATATAAAATGTTTCAGTAAATAACTAAGCTTCTAAAACAAATTTTCGTTAAAAAGTTATAAAAAAAATAATTAAATAATTGAGTTCATCAGTTATCGTTTATTGATTAGATATTAGATTGTTAGCAGTTAACACTACAACTTGATATTTTAGACCAATTTCTAAAAGTTAAATCCAAAGTAACAGTTTAATTCGCTTCCATAAGGTATATTATCAGCGGCAGTGCATATTTTTACACATAAAAAATAAACTCACTTTTATCTTCATTTATTTTTTCTTTTCGCACATTTTCTCAAACCATTCATGAGCAGCAAAAACATATAAAACGTTTTTAAACGCTTGCGGTAAGTTAAAAAATTTCGGGAATGCCGTACATACCACTAATTAAACCACTGCCACTGGCGCAATTTTTATATGCTTTAATCCATAATATGCAGGATTTTAAAATGTATAGACATATTTGCTGTTTGCGAGAACGGAGGCACAAATTTCAACATTAGAAATTTATTGGCAAATAAATTATCTACTATCTACAAATATCCTCGTAAGCGCAGCAAAATCTGAAACATTTTCAAACAGTTATTCCACATAATCTTGATATTCGGAGTAATCGGAAGAGAATTTAAAATTAATGGAAGTTATAACCAGACGTCTGCAATAAACAGGCAGGTAATTTATGATAGTTTGCCAACCATAAGTTACCACCTTAAAGCAAAATGTAGTTGCTTCGGCTTTGATGTTAGATTTATATCTACGGTTTAGTTGTACTCACTATTTTGTAATCACATTTATTTCCAAATTCTCAAACATCGGTATTTCAGAAAAAGCAAGCACAGTTTAAAACTTTATCAAATCCAAATTTGTGTCTTACCCTCAAAGCTTCTCTGTGAGGTCCTTGCACAACAAAATTCTCCTTCACTTCGGCCACTTGTACCATTTTACACTTTATCACTGCACTCGCATTTTTGCAAGACGATTGACGGGAGAGCCATACACAAATGACGGCTTGAAGTAAATTAAGAAGCTGCGGGTGTTGAACGTAAAACACGTCATAGTATACACCAAAACTTTGAATAAAAAATATCAACAGCTTCGATGAAACGAAAACTGATTGATAGCAGCTGCCTTAACCAAAACACGGTGTCTGTTTCCCCCTGACTTTTGTTGCGTTTTATGCGAAACAGTAAAATTTAATTGCAGTCGGAAAGCAATTCTAAACATTCAGTTATTTTTACCCTAAAGGTAATTACTTTTTATTAAAAATATTTAGCGTCTTTGAAAGGAAATGCACGCAAATAAGAAGTAATGAATTTCTCAAAATAGCTTCGTGTTTGATCTTTCACCTACCTGAGTTTATTTACTAGCTTACAATAAAAGTCTGTCCATTATAATTTAAATCTAACGTGAGATTTTTATTTTCAGTTAGAAGAAATAATTCTCAAATTGGGGTCAACCATAGTAATCGATTCAGACATTCATACGAACATAATGGTTCACTAGGTCGTTGTTAATTAAAAACAGGTCACAGCTCAAATAAATTAAACACATTTTTATTAGAAATAAATAATTTTAAATCCTTTTTGATCTAATTATCCTTTTTTTAATAGTGGAAAAATAATCGTTGCTGAAGCATAAAACCGCTTGTACATATTTTTATGCTTAATTTTTTTGTTTCTTGTTAAATAGGATCATTATACTTTGTCGATGTCTTCCAGGCTCCGAAAACTCCTCTCAAACGTTTTTAATTACCTGTGGTATTAGAATTTTCTTTGTAATTTTGTAATTATAACTTTGCAAAGACACATTTTCTGAAACTGAAACTCAAGTAAATATTTTGTTCCGCTTTGTTATTCTAAATATTCAGTTGCGCTGCAGACTAGTCTAGCGTGTCGCAGAATGCGAAATAAAATATTAGGTTTCTGGTAAGACCTCACTAAGGAAAGTTATTTATCCTTTGGGTATCTCGGATTTTATCATGAGATTGTGCATTTTTGTCGTTTTCATATAATCAAATTTGAGGTATACATATAAGAAAAATTAAATCGGCAGATTTTCTCAACAAAATCGAATAAAACAATCCGACTTTTCGCCAAAAAGCCCATTATACAAGGAAGTTTAGTTTTCTTAAAAGAACATAAAAAGTGACTGAAGTAAGATGTTGAATTAAGTTTTTACGAACTTTTTAATAAACAGAATAGATCGTCAACCTTTTACCAGATAATAGCGGTATTACGCCTGAAACCAGCCTGTAATTTAATCAAAAAGTTTAATGGTCTTAGTTGTAGCCAGTAATAGAGGTTTAAAAGAACCAAAAATATGGTTTTACCCTAATTTATAATTCTGAAATTCACAAATTTGTTCATCAAATTCGACACTAATTCATTTTTTTTAATATTGCGGTACTAGATTACGAGTTTAGATTTCTTAGCCTTAGTTCGTATTTAAACCGAAATTCAAACTTGAAAGCTTGATTTTAAACTCAACATTCCGAGTCTTTGAATTGAAAAAATTTGATTTAAAATATCGGATGATCAAGAATGACTGAGTTGGTAAAATTGAATTTTATTTTTAACTTCCCGTTTTTCACAGACTGACATTGGCGATCACTTAATACTTCAAATTTTTTAAAATTGTAATAATTGATTTATTAATATAAAATAGAGTTTTACGTATATAGAATTAGCGCTTTAGAATTTCAGAGTTTAACTCTTGACAATACCCAAAAGTTGAAAACCGAAATTCCGAATTTTAAAATTAAAACCTGAAGTTAGTTAGATTTTCAATTTTAGAAAAGAAATTCCGAAATATTTCAGTTACAAATCTGAAAGTGGGGAGAGTTTAAATTTTGGACGCTGAATTCAGAATTACAAATAAAAAATTTAGGTTCTTAAATGCAATCGCAAGGTGTCTAAAAGTTTCCAAGTCGACAACTTTTACAAATTACCATATAAACCGTTGACATTATCTGTATTTTCAAAAATATTTCAGCGAGACATGGAGGAATTTCTTTCAAACAGAAAATATGTTTAACTGATGACAATATATTTTGCAATTTTGTAAAATAATAAATGATGCAAAAAAACACAGTTTAAATAAAACAGCTTTATTTCTTTAAAACAAATAAATACTGGATTAATACTTGCACTTTATTAATATTTTTTTTCAGCAATCTGGTTCTGCAAAACAAAAATTTCATTTCGAAGCGTATTCAGACAATCTTGGATATCACTAAGAGGGGCCTCTTGAACGGGCGTTTTATTCTCTTCTAATAATTTATTTATGTAACCATCGTCGTAGGTCATAGGACTGGGAAATTTTGATAGAAGAGACATGCTGTCAAACTTTTCTTTTTCCTTAAAGCTGCTATTAACATACTCCTTCAGAGCCTGAAAAATTACAAACTTGCAAAAAGTTTTGTTTATAAGTAATAAGAATACCGTACCTTATTGTGATCCACATGAATTTTCAAAGCGACTTTTAAGTCATTACACATTCTTTGTAGAAAGAATTTTTCATTCTTTAATGAGTCAATTTCATTTTTAAAAACAAGAAGTTGGTTCTTTAGACTAGTTATGAGCTTTTGCAAGTTAAGTTCTTTCTCCAAGTAGGTGTTTTCAAGGTGTTTTTTCTGTAAATTTAATTCATTTACTTCTTCAGCCTTTTGCTGAAGACATGAATTCATGTGCTACAAAAAATTAAGTAACAAAACTTTTTTTTAATGAATAAAAAATTATACTTCTATTTCTTTAGATAAATAAGCATTTTTATCGGTAAGATTTTCCAGTCTTTTACTCAGCTGCTCCTTTTCATTATTAAATTTTAAACAAGTGTTTTCTACAAGAATTAACTCATTTCTAGCAATTTCGTGTGTATCTTGTTCTTCTGAGAACAATTTCTCTAAGTTAGCTAATTTGGCACCCAATTCGTTATTAGTTTCAACAAGTGTTTGCATCTTATTTTTATAATTGGCACTAAGCGCAGACATTTTTAGTAACAATTGTCGATTCTACAAATAAAAAATTACAATCTAAAAATGAATACATTTCAACACTACCTCTTCTTGTAAATGTGAAATTACTTCATCTTTCGCCTTACAAGCGAGGTCGCTTTTTTTCTTCTTTAAGTTATCCACTTCTTCACATTTGGTGCACGGCTTTGTTAATTCCTTTTCAAGTTTAAGTACATTTTGTTTCAATTTTTCATTAATAGATAAATAATTGTCTACGCAGTTTTGTAACTTATTTATTTCGGTTTCTTTCATCTTTACTTGTAACTTCAATGTGTTACATTCGTCTGATAAATTGTTATGTAGTTCTTGTAAATATCCATTATGTTTTTCCGCTACATTTCTACCTTTCATATGCTCCCGAACTTTCCGTAACAATGTGCGGTAATTTCTTTCGTATCTGAAATGACAAATTATGTAATAAATTTGAGGTGATAAAAAATGATAAAGATTAATGATTTCATTAAAGGATATGTCTACAATAAATCAACAAAACCAAAGTATCGCGTTACCGAATTTAATGCAAGACAGAACAATTTATGATGCATTTTTTGCGATGCGAAACGAGTACGCTGATGCGGTGTTACTACACCTAATTAAAACACATCCGTCATCGCAATTCTAACAAAATAAACGCTGGGACTACAGAGAAACTATATGAATAACAACCACAAATTTTTTGAACGAACGGGAGATTCATCCTTCTGTTACACCACTACAAATGCAAAGTTTTAATTAATTTTTGAATGTAAACGCAGTGTAATTTTAAATTTAACAAATACGGAATAAAGTATAAACAAAAAGTAAACCAAAAATGGCAACATAAAAATAGAATAAAATGTAGATAGTTGTAACTCTTAAATTATAACCTTGGATTAATAGGAATTGCCACCCTAGATTTTGGTGGTAGGTATATTTTATTAAAATCAAATATTTCACCAAATGTTTCGTTACTTGTTAAAAAAAATCTTTTTTGTGATGATTTTTGTCGTTAAATGGACAACAAAACTGGAATCTTTATTTGGGAATATTTCATATTCAAATGTCCACGAGACAAAATTACAATTAAGTGTTGTCACTACATGTTTTGACACAATCATTTATAGGCACCCTATATTCATCAACAAACTAAAACTTTTTACTCCGTCATGGTTAGTACGATTTAAAAACTGAAAAACTCGAAGAAATAATTTTGTAGAAATTTATAACCGAATTCAAAACGAAAACTTAACTGGCGACGCCAACTTTTGACTTGCTCTGTAAATTAACAATTTAATTTATGTGAGATAAAACAATCACTTTGAAAAGTAAAGCCTTAGAAAGTTGATTCTCGTCTAAAAGCTCGTACCTAGTTCATGAGTAGATATTGATTTATTGTCTAATAATAAACTACAACAAGATTTTCTAGACATCTATTCTTACAAGACATGATGTGATGATACACACAACAGATCAAAGACGTCGCTCTTCTTCATTTTTTGTTTCCCATTTTTACTTTCAAATTAAATTATTCCTATATTTGCACGATCGAAAAAAGTGAAAATCAAATCTAAAACATGAAAATTTACCTACAAAAAATCAATTTCCGACTAAAACTAATTTAAAAGTAAATCGCGTGCAACACAAGCATATTAGTTCAAAGTTAAATACATACGAATAAACGAGCATAAAAACAACTAAGTGTCATTTGAGCAAAAATTTTCTTGATTCTTGTCCCAACAAAACCAAATAATCCCTTCGAAAATTCCAACAACGCAGGAGCGGTTTTAAACAGCAACACACCAAATTCCACTCCAAAAATTACAAAATACAAATCCAAAACGCTTAAATAAATACAATAACACAACGCATAACGTACTAATGAGAGTATAGTGTTAATTAAAACTTACCGTTTTTGTTTATCTTTCTCTTCTTGTATTTTAACCTGTAGTAGTGCTTGCAAGTGTTTGAACTTCTGGTTCTGATCGCACTCTTTGCTATTTTCACATAACATTTTTAACATTCTCATATTTTCGTCGCTTTTCTCAGTAAAAGTTTTGCATCGCTCTTCAAATTTTTCAATGCGATTCATTAGAAACTTTTTCAATTTTGCATTTTTTCGCTTTAATTCTATTATGCTGTGATCTTTAGTCGCAATTTCGGTCGTGTTAGACTGAAATTGTGCAACTATTCTGTTTAGTAATAATTTAATATACTCAGAGTGATTGCCACTTGAAATAGAATTGTGATAGCGGTAAGAACCATCTTCACCGATATTACAGCTTTTACAGATATATTCCATTACATCAACTATATTGATCGGATCACTTCGATTGGTTATACAACCATTTACGACATTATTTAAATCGCTTTTGTTGTTATTTTCCTCTTTTATTTGTAAATCTTCAATTATTTTATTTAATGAATTAATCTCGTTTAAATAATTTTGTTTTGTAAATTCTGCGTCCTTGTTCACTCTTTCCACAAAAGTAAGCCTTTCCTTCAATTTTGCAACGTCCTCAGCATTTCTCGTAATATTTTCCTCCAATTCAGTTAACACATGTTGCAGTCGAATTAGTTCCTCGTTTTTTCGATTTAACTCGTCCTTTAAGTACTGGTAACTACATTTAAACGAATTAAATTGTTCTTTTATTGTCTTTACTGATTTTTCAATAACGTCTTTTTCTTCATTTTTTAACTGCAACTCAGTTTCTAGTTTTGTGCAGTTTTTATTCAAATCCACCAATTTCCGACTCTGCTCTACTTGCTTATCCATCGCTTGTGATAATTTGAATTTCAAATCTTTATTACTGCTCTCTAACTGCTCAATTGTATTTTCCTTCTCTTTTAAACGATTTTGCAACAATAAATATTTTGCTAAAGTATCCGAATTTTCTCTCGAAATGCTCTTGAAAATATTTTGTTGATGCTCAAAATCCGATTTAATTTTAGCAACGTCGTTTGTTAAATCGCTAATAACTGCCTCATAATAATTGCTAATTCCTTCAATATCAACGGTAGGGTTAGTACGAGTATTATTGACATTTTCAAAATCAGGCTTAGAGAAGTGTTCGTCAGAGGTTTCAATTTGTTTCAAAATTCGCTCCTTTTCTTTTAGTGAAGTTAAACGCAGTTCATCACAAACACATTTCAAATTACTCAATTCTAATTTCATTTCTTGAATTTTTTCCTCCTGAACTACTGTGGTTTTTTTATTTTGTAAAAGTTCCGTACTCAAGTTGCTTTTTTCGCTCTGCAGTTGGTGTAGCTCGTGTTTGTACCAATTTTCCGATTTTCTGACATATTCTAACTCAGTTGTTAGTAAATCAAGTTCGTGAATTAATTTTAAGTTGTTTTGGGACACGTTTTGTAGTTCAACATGTTGGTCTGATATTTTTTTCTTCAATTCTTCAATACAGTGTAACTTTGTCACTAAATCTAATTTTAAATCACTAGCTTCAGACTTTAAATTATAATAATCACTTTCAACCTCACTTTTTTGATAAGTACATTGCTTTAGTTCATTTGATAATAAATAATTTTGATTAGATAACTCCTGATTACTTTTTTCAAGCTTCAAAATTTTATTTTGCAGGTCTGTTTGACTACTCTTTGTTTCATAGGTATTAAAAAGTCTCCGAATTTGATTGTTAGCTTCTATCAATTTTTTCTCGAGTTGATTATTTTGTTTCAATAATGCCTCGACCTTGTCATTATATAAAATATCTTTTTTCTTCTCCACATTGTATAACTGGTTTCTATACTTCTCATTTTCCTTGAGTGAAATTTGCAATTGAACATTTAATGTTTTTATTTGGTTTTCATACCATGTTATTACATGATTTTTTTTTGCAGAACTATTTGCCTTAACATCGTTTGAAGAACTTTCAGGGTCGATAAGTTCCTTTAATTTCAAAAATTCTCCTTGATATTCACTCAAGCCTGACAGCGTCGATAGATTTGAAGAAAAACATTCCGAAACTTTTGAAGATTCAGAACAGTCTGATAATACTTCAGAATTATCCATAAAAGTGTATGCCTAAAACACAATGATCTTGACATATTTCTGAGCACACATCACCCACAAAATTATACTATTACCTTTACTAATGTTAATATTTTACTTGATATTTTGATGAGATGATTTCTAACTGAGCTAACACAAAGTTAATGGTGTGGACGGAAGGAAATAAAACCACAACTTCGGTACACTCCATATTCAAGATTAAACACTTAATCATTAAATAAACATAAATTAAACGAACAATTAATCAACAACAAATAGAAACTGACTGACACTGACATTATTGACATTTGGCACGTGGCAAACAGTCACGTGGTACACTACCTGTCAACATTAGGCGATGTTGTCATGTTGCGTATTTGTTTTCAAATTTATTTTTGGATAATTTTTTGGCAAAATACCCTATTACACAGCGTATAATTAGTTTGTGTTTGTGTTGATTCGCATAACTTTTGTAAAGAAAACAGGTATATGTCCTAACTAAATTGGATTTGGATGTGTGAACGATGCAGATATTTTAGGTTAAGTTGTCGGCGTCATCCGTCAAAATAATTTGAATTTGAAATAAAAAAGTCACAAGCACTCACAAGTTTGCAAGTTAAAATAGTTATTTCTATTGATCTAACAATAATGGATCCATTGGAGAACGTTGACGAAGTTCTTCGAGAAATTGAGAGAAAATATTCGTTCACGAATGATGAGTGCCCCAAGACTGATTTAGAAGAGCAACTGCAATTCTTGTCACAGGTACTTAATAATTATCAGTTTTTCTCACAGTGATTTACGATTTAGGATTTTGAGACATTGGGTCTTCCACCAATAGACTTAAAAAAGTCTAACGCACAATTGTTAGAACAAGTCGTGAATAATTCTCTGTCGTTAGTTCAGTTACACAGAAAAACGATATCTCAGATATCTGATTTGGGTATTTGCAATAGGTCAAAAGAGATAAAAAATAACGATTTGGAGGTGCATTGGGGATATATTTTTAGAAATTTTGGTTAAATTAGATGTTCTAGAGAGATATATTACATTTAAAACTTAAACTTAGGACTACTGAAGACCAAAATTTAAACTTACAAAGGAAATTAAGTAAAGTAAATAGCGAATGTGAAGTGTTGAACAAGAAACTGTCAATGCATAACACAGAGACTGACAAATTGAAGCAATATTATAAATCAAAGCTGAATGAAATGGTTCATCACATAAATAGCTTGAAAAATGAAAATCACCATTTAAGAGAAATGTGTGGTAAAGATATTGGTAAGAAGTACATTTGAAACGTTGTAATTACTTATGAATAAATTATTTTTGTAGACAAGTACTTTAGCAAGGAAGACAAATTTTTAAAAATATTGAAAAAACACAAACAGACTGAAGAAGTGTACAAAAGTGCCTTACAAAAACTTGAAGATAATAACACCGAGATAATGAATGAAATTTTAAATCTGAAGGAGGAATTAGCTTTAGCATATTTAAAAAAAGAATAGACAACCAAGCTGTTTTATGATTTAAATTTTTAAGACATATTGTGTGTATTTATTATGAATTATATATTATTTTTAATAAAAACTGCATGTAAAAATGATTTTATTTTAAAATACTCCCCATTTCTGCAGAATAGTCTTTATTATATCTAATTACCTACACATATTTTAAAATATTACATTAATAGCCAGTAGAACAATCCTTTGGTAATACACAACTTCCAGTTTCTTCATTTCTTAGATATCCATCTTTACAAAAACATCCTTCTTCACATTTAGCCTCACAGTTTGCAAATTGCCGATTGGTGCATGTAGCTATGCACGGGGAGCCACACGAGTTATAAACTTCGTTTTCACCCAAACATTGATTACCTACAAAATGAAAATTCATTTATTTTTCACATTAAATTGTACATGTTTATACTTACTAGTGTAACAATAAATGGTTGTTAAAGACAGAGCTAATACGGTAATAACAACAAGGAACTTCATTTTGTTTTGTGTTAAAAGTGAAAATACCAAAGAATGGTGTTTGTTTGGTGTGAATCTCTTTATATAGGTGTTTGTGAATCAAAAAGTGTATTTACTATTTACATATCTGTTTTAAATGATGCGTCGGTGTTATAACATGTAGGATACGTATGCAAATTAATATACCGGGTGTTTTGTATGGTTTCTGAATAAATATTAATCGAAGTTGTTTACTTATTACAAGTAATACAAAGAGATTAGTATGCCGAATGCGTTTTATTTTGTGATGTAACTAAATTTAGCAATGATTCATTGTATTTTATGTGTATTTCTACATTTATAATCAGATTTTTTCATTCGTTCTATTTTCATTTGGATAAAAATACGAAACACTGTGTAAATACGTTGTGTATTACTAAAAGCTTAATTACATGCTTCGCCCCGAAATGATATGTATGAACGGAAGACATATAATTATGCAATTATGTTATCATTTTCTGTCATTTTAAATTGAGAACCTAAATTAATAAGTTTCGTATCCTCAAATTATTTTTTAATTAACATGCATAAATAGGCGCCTACAATTTTCACATTTGATAAAGCTGGATTACATATGCAGTTAAAATGAAACGCAATGTTTATTTATAATTTTTATTCATTTCTACACTTATTTTCAGATAAATTCAATAAACTTATTTGTTGCAACTTAAAAAACATCCCTATCAATTAACGGCGATTTGAGGTACCAAACATGTCACGCACCTATAACCATATTTTGTAGGAATTGAAACACAATGTAGATACTCCATTTAGTTTTATATTATTGCTCGTCTTTTAATTATTCAAAGGAAAATATTTAGTGACCTCCAATTTCGATTATCTGGGATGCAACAGGTACCTTTCGTATAATTTTTTTAAATGATATGTCACAAATGGAGTATCCACAGAACAGGAATTTCATCACATTGATTGTACAGAGTTGTAGACTATAACAAAATTATGGAAATATGTATAAAATAAATCGTTAATAACAAAAATTGTACACATTTTGATCAATAACAGTTGTAAATTACAATAATCTTGGAAAGCGTAACATCAGTATGGAATAAACCAACTTTTCATCTAAGTCAAATAAAACATATCTACATGACTACAAACTTGAAAAATAAGAATATCTCTTTTACAACGTGTTATAAATAAAAATATTTGTTACTCTTTCAAAATATACTTTTTATTATTTTTCTATCTATATTTTACAGTAATGGTTATTTACACAACACATTTATAACAATGAACAAGCATCTTTAGATATATCTTATTTAAATTATCTAATTATTCCTTAGTTTTAAGTACATATTACGCTTTCTGGAACAGTATATAATCACATTTGTGTAATTACGTAAAGAAAATTACATAAAAAGATATGTAAGTACATAAAGGAAAAATTGCCAACATTAATAATCTATTTATTCCTTTTACTTGTTCATTGTATGTAACAATAGCAGAAACGCAATGTTACAAAAAATACTTTTGTTCCAATGTAACAGCCGACAACAACACTTTTCAATCATAGTATATTTTTTTCTGTGTTAAAGGTAGAAAAATATAAACAATGGCAAGATCTAAGTGTTTTTTATAATACTATATATATTTTCAAGCTCGCTGGGAGCTACTTTATCCGGAACTATGATTTCCAATAGTTGAAAGCGTAGGTTTTGGCAATTGATACCGTCGAGAACTTAGTGATCTTTCCAGTGGAGTAACAACCTCGGTGGCGATCGGATAAGATGTGGCTCTTTTTGCGGAACGGCTGTAGAGTAAAACACTTGTTATAACAAAATTCCACTCAAAACATATTTCAATTTTTTGATGATTTTAAGTCGTAGTTTAAATTCTTGCGTTTTAATAATTTTTTACCTTCTCTATCTCGCCAAAAGCAGGAGTGGTCATGAACTAAAAATAAGCAAAAAAGAAAAAAACTAAACATTAAAAAAACAAAAGAAAAACATTAAGCAGAAGATTTTTCGTATAGAAAACAATTCTCGCCATTCCATAATAGCATAAAAGGAGTAAACGTGCTGAGAAGCTTTGCAAAGGACAAGAAGTTTATCTTATTTATACCCTGACGAAACAAACAAACAAAATGTTTCTTTTTGGATTCTTTGAATACAATTTGCAACGATAGTATTAGTCTGTCTCTGACACTCACCTCAAAATGCACAAAAATAGCAAATATGACAAAAAATATCGCAAACAATTAATAATCGACCACCACATATTTTAATGATGCTACTAATCTAATACCCTAAAGCGAAAATATTTTTTTAAGTCAAATAGTTTACTCTCATTAACTTTTAGTCACTTAATACTAACATACACTGGAAGACATTAATCAACTGTAAGCAGACAAATGTTACAAGTAAGTAACAACCAAGCACTGCTTTCATGTTTTCTCAAATTTTTATATGATTTTAAAGCAATGTTTAGTTGTTGTGTATGGGATGAAACCTTGGACTTCACAAAATAAGAAAAAAGTAATTACAATCCGCAAAATATATACTTCTCACTACTTCAGTTTCAGTAATTCGCTGTGAAAGAAGTTATTGTGTGAAGTCCTGGATGTAACGGTAAGTTTCAGTTAAATTCGTTACGTTAATCTTTTATTTAACTTTTTATTTTAAGTGTAAATTAAGAAATGCACATTCCACTTCTTTTGGTTTATATTTTTTATTAATTGATTATTATTTATAGATAATTCTTTAATTACTGTTAATACCACAAATCTCTGCAAATTGACAAATATGTGGTGCGAAAATATCTACTGGTGAGTGCAAGGTTGTTGAAATAATTACCATATCCTAAGTAACTATCGTCAATGTTAGACATGACTAATGTAAACTTTGCGCTTCAGAAAGCCACTGTTGCGCGCAGGAGATGAGATGCTCGTGTCGTGGCTGAAACAGTGACACCACCACATGCATATTAAACTACCCTACCATTCGATTATATAAAAAAGTAAACCAGTTGAGTAAATCAAGCATCAGAGTTTTCGAAATGTTAAGATTACCTTCTCCTTCGATTAAAACTTTGACCTGGCAGACCGAAATAGCCCCGTGGTAAAACCATCCGGGCATTGCCTTGAGCTGGCCGCGAGCCTCCGTGGGCCATCAAGATGGTAAGATGGGCGGCATAGCCATCTACTAGGATTGTTGCTTGAGCATGTTGTTTCTTTGATGCTTTACCGACAATGAAAATTTGTTTGGGTTTCAGTCCGACTGAGGTATATACACTTATGTCTTTACTACTACCGTATGCACAATGGATAATTACACCATGATTCTAAAAATTAAAAATAAGTACTCATAATGAAAGTCTAGGAAGAATTACTTGGATTAAGTTATTAAGATAAGCAGCCTTATGTCCTAGAGGATCAGTTGAAAGACCATCAGCAAACGACACGAGACCATGAGGAAAATTATGTTGAGATAACCATGACACAACTCTTCGGTGTTGCATGTCAGGTCGTCCTGTTATGTAAACGATGAGGTAACCAAGTTCTTGCCAGTGTCTACAAGATAAAAAAAAGTCGCTCAATTTGCTATCAAAGTGTGTGTTTCTAAAATTAAAATGAAGTATGTAGACCTTCTGCCTTTATTATACAGGATGTTCCGTTTTTATTGTTACAAATTTAAACAGGTGACAGGATATTCAATTCTAAGACAAAAGTTTCCTATAAACATGTATCGAAAAATGCTTGGTAAGGGAGCTACACCCCCTGAAAGGGGGCTAATAGGTTTTTGCTAATATTTCAGAAACCATCGTGGATAAAATTACAAAATTTGGTACAGATGATAACCTTTATACACATAAACGAATTCAAACATCAAATGTTGAAATTTTTAATCAGGGGCGTCCGAAACTGGTGGGGTTTAGGGTAAAAAATACCCTATCTATTTTGGCTTTAGTTTCTTTAGTTATGTATTGACCAAAATGGTGGTCACTTTGAACAACTCCTTTAGATTTAGGCAAATTCATTTAATTAATGTTATTATTGTTACTGTAATGTAATGTTAATTAGTTGAGGTTGATTAAAAAATATGAATTTCTTGCTTTTATTATTCTGTAAATTCTGATTTATTTGAATGTTGTATTGGTGTGTAACATAAATTTTAAATTAATTTTATTCAAAAACAATAAGTCGTATCGACACAAGAGAGACTTTTCTGTGATAAACTATGGAATTTAAGATTTTGTTGCTGAAAGTACCGAGAAACTAAAGCCAAAATAAATAGGGTATTTTTTACCTTAAACTCAGTTTCGTACGCCCCTGATTAAAAATTTCGACATTTGATGTTTGAATTCGTTTAGGTGTATAAAGGTTATTATTTGTACCAAATTTTGTAATTTTATCTTAAATGGTTTCTGAAATATTAGCAACTCGCATTAGCCCTCTTCCAGAAGGTGTAGCATTTTTCGATACATGTTTATAGGAAACTTTTGTCTTAGAATTGAATATTCTATCACCTGTTTAAATTTGTAACAATAAAAACGGAACATCCTGTATTTTAATTTTAGAATCACAGGCTACTGTAATCTAAGATTTAATTGAAGAAATAGTTTGGTGTCCTGTTTATGTAAAATTGTGTTCATATTCAAAAAGATAATAATACAAAACTAAAACTGTTTTTTGGAGTCATAAAGTCTTGTTTAGTCTACATTTTAAAAATATTATTTTTAAATAATTTCAAGTGTGGAGAAACAGTTTAAGCAGTTTTTAAGCATGATCTATGAAGAGCGAGTGCCTTCAATATTTGTTCAATATTTTGAAACACTCTGCCAACTGAACGACTATTTGTTTATTTACAAATTGTGGTACATGTTTTTAATTTTTACTAATAAATTGTTAAACTGGGCGTTTTTACACTTTCTAGAAGCTTACCTAACGACATCGACGGCCCCCGCCCTAACTTTCGGATCTCTTCCTGTCACCGACATACTGGCAGTAAAAGAGCCATCAATACTAAATACCACACATTCGGTTTTTGGAGGAACTACAGCCATAAAAAAGTCGACGGAAGTGTGATCACCCCTCACCACCATCTGTAATGAATTCATTTCTCTCTTTTTTCATTTCGCCTTTTACCATCACCTTTATAGGATATAATCCGTAACCCAATGTTTTTTCTTCCGGAATTGTATGAGTAATTCTTCCGGTTTTATCCGTCACTTCTGTAGCTATCTGAACCCATTCTCCTATCGCCACATCCTTCATTACATGAATGTCGACTTTTTCGCCGGTCAACGCAACCATATCGAGTGGCCCGTACATAAACCTTGCTGATAACACCTGAGGGGCCCCTTCTCGCACGATTATATCGTTTGCCCGATGATTCGCTGTGACATTCTAGAAAAAAAAAGTGGGAAACACTCATTTCGAGCTTTTGTTGAAACATTAATTTACTTTCACTTTTACCGACGTTCGTTTTTTTATCCATTTCTCTCGAGGTTGTCCTGGTTTGAAACATAATTCTCTGTCCTCAACACCTGACAGTGGTGCAGCTTCAATACCGCCAACTTGGCGTAAAATAAAAGCAATCACGTCGCAACTTTCCCAGTAACTTGCATGGAATAAGTGTGGTAGTGCGTTGGTGGGAAAGTTTGACAAGCCTTCCGGGCAATATAACGCGTAATCCATTCGTTTTCCACCCCACCATTTTTGTTGCACTATAAAACAGAAATGTGAATAAGCTTTGGATCATGAAGAAGTGTTGAAACATAAATAGCAGCACAGCATTAGGCTTTATTGATATTCTGGAAGAGTTCCAATTGTAAATGGATTGCTGTTTTGTAGTTACTTAAGAGTAATTGAAACAAGTTTGAATGTTTGCTTTTAGCACTTAAAAAATGATACTTCGCCCACAAATCATCGAGGAGATATTTTTATGAACTGCAGTAATTTAAACATGATCCCAGGAGTTTTTGTTTTATAACTACTGGTAATTTTATAACACAATTAGTACTCATATTCTTAAATATTAGTAGAAAAATTATTGTTGTACTACAAACTTTCCTTAAGAACGTTCTTCAAATGACGAAAGCTTTTATGCTTTTCCAAGTGTTTGGTCAACAATAATGTAAGTAAGCTAAACTTATCCTTTGTTGACACTTTTAATAAAATTTTGTTATGGGCACGTTTGTATGGGGTAAAAGAAGAAGAAAAAAAAATGAAAACAAAAAAGCAATTTTTTATTGCACACTTACTAAGGAATGCTACTGTTCAATTTTTAGCATTAAAAGCTGCAGTAATTCGCAAAAAAAAAGTTTAAAAACAAGTATTTAAGATTTTAATAACTTAAAACAACGATAAAACCAGTTTGAAAATAATGTCATCATTTGTTTGTTTTTGTTTACATCATAGGTTAAGTGTTAAAGTTCCCACATTTTCAAGCCACAGAAAACAGTTGTGGAACTACAGTTTTACCTCTGTCTACGTGTTCTACTAACGGTTAAAAAAAGTACTTCTAGATAATGGCCTATGAATATTGTAGTTTACACTTAATTATTATTTTACGAAGAGCTTAGGCAAAATTTTACAAGGTGTTATATCGTGACATACAGAACAAAAAATCATGATAAACTTTTTCGTAACTCGTACCGTTTTTTCGTTGTGTATGCCATTGTAAAGTTTTGCATATTATTTCAAACTCTGTATACGGGTGTGCCAGAACTCGCGCCCCAGGGAAAATTTTCAAGTAAGGTAAGATACCAGGAACATGAAAAAGATGTTTCTATCTGTCAAAAATTGTGACCTTTTTTTTCACATATGACATTTTTTATGTCTATTTAATGATACTGATGATCTTGTATATGTTTTTTTACAATTATTTAGTAAAGGTACAAAAATTTTGCCAATGAAAGCCACAAATAACATTGAACAGAGCTACAATTTAGGACACAGCTTCCTTGTTTCCTCTTTTTACAGCCTATAGCAAAAAAACTTGTAAAATTATTTTCCCAACAGAAATAAATAGAGTCAAAGTGCAAACTTTAAACCCTCATAACTTCGAAATTTTTATAGATATTTTTTTTAACATTTTTTCCATGTTGCTGGTATTTTACCTTATATGGCATTTTTCTCTGGGGCGCGAGTTCTGGCGCACCCTGTATAAAATAATTTGAAATACACTGACACTACATTAAATAAATTTGAAGAGAGTTTAGTTCTAACAGACACTGCGGGAAAGAACTACACAGACAGTTTTTCTAATACTTACAAGCATTAATAGCTTGAAGAGGTATATTATCAATTAATCCAGAAACTGTACTTTGTATAGAAACCTCAGATAATCGTCTATGTTGTGAAGAATCATTAAACATCTGAGGATTAGTTTGAAGAATTTCGACTAAAAGGGTTAGAAGAGAGCATCATTAGTGAAAGTAACCAAAGTCTAGTTTGCAAACATCACCTAAGTAAAAACAAGCACTCAATCTCAACACTTACGTAAATGATAGGGTTGCCCATTTCCCAAGGGATACTTCGCATATCGAGCGACATTCACCGGCGGCAGTATTGAAAATCGTGCCGACAAAAGTGGTTCCAGACGTGCAGCTACTGGATCAGTGGGATGGAACAAATTGTAAACTTGCACACAATTTGGACGGGTTATGGTACCTAAAATCATCAAAATTATTATCAAGAATCCTAAAGAACAAACACATACTAGATTTATCATCGGTTGCTGCAATTTTTCTATACGCTAAAACTAACGCTAGAGGACTACCAAACATGAAGACATCGGTTGTGTCAAACTCGAATTTCATCTGATTGGATTGATCGCTTGTCGATGAAGATCTTCTGCGAGGAGAAGGTGCCGTCAAATATCCAGTTTCGTTGATTTGCACCTCGTCTAAAAAGCAATCATTACATGTTGAAACACCAAAATTTAGACTTGCCTTTGTGGTAATTATCATTGTCTAAAATACTGTTCTCACTACCATGCCTCGACTGGTATTTAGTCGACCTACATAACGCGTCATAGGCTAATATTGAACCGATAGAATCGGCAACAATGCACACTTGTCCGGCAAAACCCTGGCCCTCATCTGACTTTAAGAACTCTGCAAAAAACACATTACCAACTTGATTTCAGCATCACTATCATTACCTTGATAAGTGGCATTTGCGGCATTGATTGTCCGTGAAACAGCTTCTTGGTAGTCAGAAGTCGAAGTGGCCAAAATTGGAATAGCCCCAATCGGAATGGAGTCGTGTGTAATTTGAGGTACATCTATGCACGAAGGCGAAACATCGAAACTATACGGACTAAGACTAGAAAGAATTGCAAGGCCTTCAGTGCAGATAGAAGGACACGAGACCAATCGAATCGCAACATGCCCCAGCATCGATGGATAATGCTGTCGCATAACCGATTCGAAGGCCCCACGCAAGGTGGTAACATCGGATTTCTTCGCAGCCATGTCGATATTCGCGTCTAGGACACTTCCAGCGTGAAGCACTAACAATAATACTGTGGTATTGCATGGAAGATGTGCGGGAGACGCAGTCGGAGACTCCGGACATGACGCATCGAGAGAATTCACTTTGCCTCTTTGCATCATCTTCCGATTGCTGCGTTCACTTGCCACGCGTTGCAGGAATGTTGGCGAGAATATGCTGTCGTCTAAGACAAGAAATGTTGAATCATAGTGGATGGTCCTGTTATACTCTTAAATCGTTTTGCTAAGACCTACTAAAAATTTTATTACTTTTAAGTTAAATGCGGTATTGTTGAGAGTAAACCAGAGGGTAAACATATCATAAATCAGGCCAAGAAACCAAGGAAACAGGTCAGTTTTTACCAGGGTCGGTTTATTTACTTTTTTCTTGTCTGAAAGGGAAGAGACGAGTTGCTTTCCAAATTCTGTAATCTAATCACTGGATCTAAAAAAATACATTCTTCTTTTGCATGAGTTTTTTTAATGAACGCAAGTTGCAGCTTACTTAAAATATCTTAATATATTGTTGTTATTTGATGTAATTGTTATTGAAGTCAAGTAAATATTTTAAGAAATTTGAAAAGGCCAGGTTGTTAATGACAAGTTATTATTAAAATGGGGCAGGTAATTTTCTGGGAATTTTAGGAAAAACAAACACTCTTAATTTGTTGAAATATTTGAAATGGCTATGTGGCGTCCGGTCGATTTTGACAACATCGAATCATCAGAATTGGTGGAAGAAAATGAGGACATTGTAATGATTAGTTCCGCATCAGATGAAGAAGGTAAAGTACAATTATACCGGTGTCACCAGCAAAAGAGTAAGTATCAATAAATATTATAGCTGGTTAAAACAGTCCCTTTACTTTGGTTTAAATACGGCCCTGTTGTGTTGTGTTGGGTGCAGCAACACTTGCAAAGGAACGTGCCATTTATGGAGAATTACAAATTCAAGCCATTGTTTGGTTAATCCCTTATAATGTGTGATAAAATTTTTAGTAGGTCTTAGCAAAACGATTTAACAGTAGTTAGTTTACCGTTTTTGTCAATCACGACCGTCGGTGAGGTAGTGTCAGCGTCTTCTTCAGTTAACAAATCCAAAGAGCTCCACTTTGCCAGCGAGGATGAATCTTCACAGTCGAAGAACTCTTCATCCGAGCCGGATTCCGAGTCGCGTCCCAGACTCTCTATCCGCCAGTTTGCCACTTGCAAATCGAAACTTTTGATAGATGACGAGCTTGGGGAATGCAAACCTCGTTGCCATTTCTCGTCGCGTCTATTGTACGTTTATTTAGTTTTAAGTTTGACAATTTTCACTCTTACATACTTGCAATTCAATCCTGTTTCATCTTCAGGTGATAAATCACCATCGGAACTAATTGCGGTTTGGATTGAAGGAATGTTTGAATTTTTAGTCATTAGGGGACTGTCTTCTGATACTTCTATACTGCCGAGGGTTGCAGCTAGTGTTTTAACTGGGTCTTCTTTAGGTGTACTGTTATTCAAATTGTCATCTTCGTCTAAAAAATCAAAATTTTAGATGACGAATGTGAAAACTTAATCCGGTAAAAATAGATATTCCAAAAGATGAGTTAATTAAAATGTATCTGATGTATGTTTTTCTATGATCTGTTTAATATAAATGAGCATAAATATTTAGAATCTGATGCTAAATTTAGAATTTTTCAACAGGCTGGGAAAATCTGGTAGATCTCAAAAGTTGGTTTTTACCATAAATAAGTAAAATAATTAATTTCGATTACATAAATTGTGTCTTTGTCAAAGTTTCTTATCTTATCTAATGATTGTATTTTTTTTAATAACATTAAACGACGATCTGCAACAATAACAATGCCAATCATTAAATATTTACAGATTTGTAAAGCTTTTTATGATAAAGTAAATTTGTCTTAGGGATGTCAGTGTACAAGATTTATGTGTTCTTAAAAGGCTGTTTGAACTACCATTAGCAATGTTCTAATTTTGATATGTTTATTAAATTATTGTTTCTGAAAAATCCATCAGATTTTTAAAGATTATTACATCTATCATAATAGGTATTTTACTTTTCCCGGAACCAACAAATAAACTGCTCCACAAAAGTTAAGGAAGTCGCATTACTTTTACAACAAACAAATTTTATTGTTACTACATTGTGGATCCAGCAAAAACAAAAAAATAAAAAGATGTCTGTCTCACTTTTAATTATATATTAATTTATTTTTTAATATTTATTAATTTAATTAATTATTGTAATTTTTGCACACTTCCTTAACTTTTCTGGCGCAGTTTATTTAAGCCTAAAGATGTTTAAGATAATGTTTGTTTTTTAACCGACTTTCACTTACACCAAGTGAATAAAATATAAGTCGATTAAAAACAAATATGTAACACAAGAGTAGAGTGGCGAGTGAATTAATTCCTTGAGTGGATAAACGTTCATAACTCATGAAGTTTATTCAATTTTATGAAAACAAAATTTGAATTTAGTAATCAGTAACAAGGTTTATTTTTGTGCTACAGTAATTTCTTTTTTACCACTAGAATAATTAAAAAAAAACTAATTCATTCCTATAAATTGCATTATGCAGGATCTTTCAAAACTCGCGATCCAGAGAAAAATGTCAAGTGAGATAAGATACCAGGTATGTACATGGAAAAACTATTAAAAAATTCTATCTATAAGAATTTTGAAAGTATGTGGAGTTTAAATTTTGCACTTTGACCCTATTTATTTCTGTTGAAAAAATAATTTTACATGTTTTTTTGCAGGTTATTAGTAGAGGAAACATTATTTGTGGCTTTTATTTGCAAAGTTTTTTACCGAATAATTATGAACAAAAATATGCAAGATCATAGGTAAAAATCCATAGACATAAAGTCCAATGCCAAAAATTTTTTAGAGATAGAATTTTTTAAACATTTTTTCCATGTTTCTGGTACCTTATCCTTCTTGGCGGTTTTCTCTGCGGCGCGAGTTATAAAACACAGGATGTCATTATTTACTATTGCATATTTTTGAATTATTTTTGTTAATATCAAAAATTAAAAATATATGTAATTTACTCTAACAACAAATGCTTGTTTTTCCTTTGGTAATTTATTATCAGGTTAATAATAAATTAAATTGGCAAATTTAAATAAAATAATATTGACATTTTTAAACGGAATATTACCTTGTTTTTTACAAAAATATTTTTTTTGTTAATTCATCAAAGTACTATGTCCGAATAAAAACATAAATAAAAAATAGCAGGCATGAACCATTTGTAAAAAACGACTCAACATTTTAAGTAACATAACGGCTTAGAAGGCCAGTTATTCCGATAAAATTTCTTTACTCCAGAGACGATATGTTTAAAAAAAATCCCTTTTTTTAATTTGGAGTGGGCTCAAACTTTCATAATAATTATCAAAAATAGCTTCTATCTGTTTCAGTACAAATAAGTACGTTGTTTTTTAAACTTATTAGAATTTATGACAAGGACACTTTTAAACTTGAATTCGATTACATATAAATACCGATGCCACAAACAAAATCAGAAAAAAAATGTTATGTAAATAGAGAAATCAAAATAATGATTTTCTTACCAATTTCCTCGTCCTCAACCTGTCCCATTTTCCTCTTCAATGCAAGTTGCGTCTGTTTTTCTATTTCCCTAATATCCTCCATAGTTAAACCATGCCATTCGTCTTGCCAAGCCCAGGCTTGTCTATGAGCCCTCAGCATTGTTTTCCGAAGTGCTAAATAAACCCATCACTTAACAAAATTACAAAAGAAGCTATTTTTTACCTATATCGTGAATAAATTTCTCAATTTTCGTCTGCATCCCCCAATACCTAAACTCCACTCTACATAATTTATAAGCGCACATTAGAGATTTTCCATTAGGTAACGGTTGTTGTTTTCCTTGGACTTCCCTCCAATACTCCTCCAGCCAATTTTCCGATAACGGCCCTCTGCCGGACTTTTCCGACTTGAAATAAACCGGATCCTCATTTTTGACGTAGTCAGCACCATACAACTGATCCTTCACTACATCTATCACATCGACGATTCTATTCCTCAGATCACTGCCAGTTAAATTAAACACATTTTCCTGATGTCCGTTATCTTGGTAATAATACGTCTCGATCTCAAGGGAGAACTTTTCGACAAAGGGACATGTGTATCGCGTTTTGGTGTACGGATACGCATTCCAGGCCTCTTCTTCGACCATCAGGGCGGTTTTAGGGAGGATGCCTTTCAGCCATCCTAAAGCAGCAAATCTCAGATGGGATTTTTACAACAGTGGTCACTTGCCTGGTAAATGGCTCCCTACATGATATATCTTACGGGTGTATTGTCCTTGTCCGCCAGGCCCATCTTTGTAAGGTTCATTGACTAGAATTTCGACACCGCTGCCCGCTCCACTGCTCTCTTCCCGACTTTTTTTCTAATAAATATTAAAATAAAAATTGTTGATTTATTAGTTTTGTTATTAAAAAATCTTTAAAACTGTACGGGGTGCTGCATTTTGGATGTCCGAATAGAGAATCTCCGAAACTAAGAGGTTTAGCCAAAAACGAGTGATACATTCTGATGCTCATTTTTTGAGAAAATAATATTGGTTAAAACCGTCTCCCGCTATCGTCTTTTGTTTTTGACTTATAGACAAAAATTGACATTTTAGCGAAATCTAAAAAAAATCATATCTTCGTTATTATAGAAGACACAGATTTGAAATAAAGACATTAGGCAGGCACTTTTTTACGTAGAATTTAATAATGTAGTTAACAATTTTTCTCAGTTGTTTGTTTAGCCGTAATAAGATAAACTTATATTTTTTTAAGTGGGAATCATAGATGGCTATGTCATTTTTAAAAAGCTTGTTTTTTTCTTATCTAAAAAATATATATTTGTAACAGATTATTATGATACATTTTTAGCAAAAAATTATCTTTGAATTTGTTCGCAGTTGGCTGTGGAAAAGTGTTGCATCTTCAACTAAAAGGATTTAAAGTACGTTATTTAATAAGTGTCACTAATGAAAAAGTTTTCTAAGCACTAAGTAATAAAAAAAATGCAAAACAATTCGTAAATCAACTTATTGGCGACTAATAACATTTCTTTGTTTCTAAACAAGCTAACATTACCATTGTAACTTTTAGTGACAAATAGAGTGTTGTAAAAAAAGCCACTTTAATTCTTCAATAAAATATATTTTACATATATGACACAAAAATGACGATATGGCTATTCAAATACTCAAATTCCGTCTATGTGGAACGTTATCCTACGTCCATTAGACTATCAAAAAATGTTTTTTCTAATTGTGTGGACTGTTGACACATTTGTTTTTCCTATTTTTGGATTTTTTAAAAATATGCATATTTGTTCAATACTTCTAACGTATCGTATTTTTTAAATTTTTATAATTTTATCTATTTTTCATCTATTTCACAGTTCACAAAACTCTGATTGATTATTATTTACACATTTGGAGTGAAATAGTTTTTCCATGGCCAACTATTATCAAACAAAATATGTATTTCATTTTTCAAGTATAATTATAAAAAAAATATTCTGTTACAAATATATATTTTTTAGATCAGAAAAAAATAAACTTTTCAAAAGTGCCATAGCCGCCTATGATTCCCATTTAAAAAGTTATCTTATTATGGCTAAACAAACAACTGAAAAAAATTGTTAACTACATTATTAAATTTCTCGTAAAAAAGTGCCTGTATTATGTCTTTATTTCAAATCCGTATCTAGTATAATAACAAAGATATGATTTTTTTTAGATTTCGCCAAAATGTCAACTTTTGTCTGTAAGTCGAAAACAAAAGACGATAGCGAGATGCGGTTTTAAGCAATATTATTTTCTTAAAAAATGAGCCCCAGAATGTATTACTCGTTTTTGGATAAACCTCTTAGTTTCGGAGATTCCCTATTCGGACATCCAAAATGCAGCACCCTGTATATGATTAACGAATATCTGAAGATAACAAAATAAATCAAAAACCAGAACTGCCAATGTCTTTTATTTTTGTCACTTCTGTTAAAAAAAACATACTTCAGCTTGTGCTGCATATCCAGGTCATGCTTTTGTTAAATCGTAATCCACATAAGTTTTTTTTTTGTTTCTGGTTCTTTGAAAGTCCTTTCCAGACAATTCGCGGTGTCAAGTGAAACAAACAAACACTTCTGCCACTCGCAATTTAAAGTAGAACTTCCACATTTTAGTTCAGTTTGAACCAAAAAGTGGAACGAAAGAAAGACGCAATTAGTGGTTACTTACAGCAATCATATAGAGCTGAGCAATTCGATATTCCTCCACCGTGAGAGGCAGAGGAATACGATATTCCTTGATGAGCATGGCTGACGAGGACGTCCGTCCACTTTAGACGATTTGGAATGGATCCCAAGTTACCCACATTATTCTTGCTGAAAAAAAAAGTAAATCAAATAAATATCAAACAATGCAAGAATATTCAGACATGCGAGCCAGAATAACAATGACTGACTTTCAATGTATAATTTTTTTTAGTTATTACAACAATAAACTAAAACTAATACAAACTCCACTTTCAGAGTTGTTGTAATAACACACTTATTTTATTAACACGACTTTTGCATTTACTTTAGATAACCTCATCGTTATATTTAAGAACATATTGAACATTGAAAACAGGGTTCAATACTGTAATCAATGCATAACATTGTGTTTGAATATTAAGAGAAATTACTTTTCCGAATACTTTGACACGTTATGGGGCTACTAATTTTGTTTCATTTCATTTCATTTTAAGTACCTACCGAAATTATGATTATTTAATTTTTAAAAGCCATAACATACCAAAAAATGACTTATTTGATTTTTTTTGAAGAAAATATATATTTTATGTTTTATGTTTAATGAGTTTAATATCTTATTATTTATATCATATATTACATATTTTTAGTTCTAAGGGGTCAAAGTACCCCCCAGGCTAGCCTAACCTTGAGTTTCAACGTAAGTAATTAAAGGGACTGTCAAAATAGCCCAAATCGACACCAAATTTTCTATTTTTTTTTTTTGGAAAACTATGACCTTGAGGCAAAATTTTAAGTTTGTTAAAGCAAATTGTTCTGATGTTAATTTTTTTAAAAAAATATTGCAACAAATAAAAAAGTTACATTACCAAAACCTCTCAAACTATGTCAAAGTATCCCCATTTTACGGTACTCTTGTTTTAAAACACCTTTTTTCAACTGTAAAGTCAATCAAGACGACCAGTGCGCATTTGCTTACGCAGTAGACCCGGCTGTTGTGATTGGTTGATAGCTAGAGTAAGCTTACATTGGCCAATAGGATGTCGAGGACTTATATGTCACATTTATCCCGCGTAAGAGCTCTATTTAAAAACGGATCTAGTTTTACAATTTATTTTTTATTTTGAAGTGAATTTTGAAAGAAAATATACGGGCGTTTTAGGTTTTAATGAAAAATTAAATTATACAATAAAAAAATAAGTATAGTATCCTATTACCTTGAGTGGAATAAAAGCTCATTCTGGTATTTAGTTTAGAATTACGATAAAAAGACTTAGAATTTGTATTATTTTAGTTCTAAACGTTGCTATTTTAGGAGCTTTTAGTGTATGTATTTATGAAAAGAATTAAAATTGCACTTGGTGATGCCAAATTTTAAAAACCATTAATTTTCTTGAACATGCAACATATTTTATATCTAGCCTTGAGTAGCTTCGCATGTGTTGTAAGCCAAATAAACATGACTTGTAATGCGTTAATTTGTAAAATGTATCAACAGTAAAGTGAATTTATTCTTCGGTCCTAATTAGTAAGAGGGTTGTTGGTCTATAACTTCAACTGGAAATTGCATTAACAAAATTATCTGAATTAAATTACAGTGATTGAAAAAACGTGTTAGGAGATTATCCTTGGTCGGAGGTGCTTACGTAGCAATGGATGAAAAATTCTCTGAAGTCATATTAGTGCAATTTGATAATCCCATTTACAGATTAACAATCAGCAGAATTTCACACAGAAATTAAAAATAGTTTTTTTTTAATCCTTAATTTCGAAGTGCTAGATTTTTTTCCATCTTTTCATAGTTTGAAATTTCTTTGACCACCGATAGTTCGAATAATTTAGGTTTTTTTTCATTTAAATACATGATTTCTTATTGGGCGTAAATTTAAACAGAATCGTTTATTTTGCAAAACACAGTTTACTTTATGGTTCAACACGGAACATAATTTATTTCAGTTTTCTTCTAAAAGTTCTGTTCAATATTAACTCAAAATAAACTATGCATAATAAACTTAAACCACGCAAGACGATAAAGAAATTGTTTACCTACGAGTGAAAAGTTTAAGTTTACGAGTGACAAAGTCACGAGTGGACGTTTTTCACGAGTAGATAAACAATCTTTATCGTCGTGTATAATATTTCGTTTGATTTTGTACTCACCTACATACCAGAATTTCTTGAATATAAACAGTAGATAAAAATTACTTTATTTCACTAGACGATAAAAGACTACTTTATCTACTGAAATTTGTTGATAAAAGCACTCAACATTGAGTGTAAAAGTTTTACAATGTACGTAGTCCCAACACCCCCAACCAATCTTCGTGCATGCATATAAAACTTCTGCTTTATCACGAACAACACGTGTCGAATAATAGCTTTGACCTTAAATGTCACATCCTAAGATCAAAGCAGTAATTTTAGGTAGTAAATATAATTAATCACATACGGAAAAAACAAATTTTGGAAATTTTTGAGGCTTAAAACGACAATTTTTCAGCAACAAGAGAAGATAAAAATTTATTCTTTTCATACTATTCAATTATTTTGTTGGATTTTCCAAAAAGAACAAATGGTACGATAACAGAATGTAGTAAATTCATCAAATTGGTCCCAGAATAGACTGTTTGCAATAGCAAATGATTACAAAGAGAAACAATACAGTTAATTTAATTTTCTAAAATTACGTGTTTCTGATGTTTACAAAACAAAATTATTCCATTTAACTACAACAAACATTCAAATCACTACATTATAATGTAGTGGAAAAGCAAACATGAATCTAAAATTAATAAAATTATATAAAAGTTGTAAAAAAATAAATAAAAACAATGCCACGAAAATATGTTACAACACAAGCGAAAAAATGTAAGATTTCACCCAAAAATTAAAACAGTGCAAGATGTCTTCAAATCAAATGAAAAAATGTAACCGCAGTACATTTTGCCGGTAGTTACAAATCAAATTATATTTTCCAGAGACTCTGAACTGGAAATAAATAGTGTCCGGAATAAAATTTAATTTTCGAGTTTTGAGCAGCAAGTACCAAGAAATAAATAAAAATACAAGAACGCTGTGAAAATTTAATCAATGAGACTCGAATTCGTTTCGTTTTCCTGTAAACTGCAACATTTTGAACAAAGAAATATTTTAAAACTTTTTAATTTTTAACACATATAATAGTTTCCGTTTCTTGTAAGGAGTTAACGATAAATTCGACATACCCATGATACAGTTTCACTTACATAGCCTTTGTTCCAATAAAAATAAAATATTTTTTCTAAAATATAATAAATCTCAGCTGAAGCTCGTGACTAAAAATAGGTGTGTACCTACGTGTAATGTTTATGAAAAGCCCCGATTTTCCGAAGAGTTGCACTTGATTTATTATCCGGCGTTAACTTTTTCCATTAATATGAAAATCCGGTAATAAACGAAATGATGTTTGTAAAAACGCTCCACTTGAATGAGAAACAATAACACAACTTGTTATCAACACTGTGATTGCAGCTTTCGTTTTGATTTCATTTGTCGACACATGATATAATAAGATACGTTTTTAAATCCATTTTACCGCCGGTACGATGAACGAGCACTGACTGTGTTCGCAATAACGTTTACAGTAAGGTGCGAATCTGCGGGTGTACCCGATCTAGGCGTCGAGACGAAACCCTATTGATCGACGAGCACTGGCTCTGGAGCCTACTGAAACGACGGACCGAATATCATACAATGATCGCGAAGACGCTTCTGACTTTTACAAAGTAAACACTACAACATGTAATTTTACGACTATAGATTAGCTTGTAAGACTGGAAATCAATGAAACAAATGTCGCCAGCAGATGGAACGACTTATTTTTGTACACCGGATTTGACATAAAAATCTATAAAGTACACACATTTCATTCATTTTCATAAAGTTTCTCATAAGTTCTTTCGCTGTACGAACCCATTCGTGACTAATAATTAAAAAGGGTAAACATCAAAGTACAATCGTTAATTGTAATTGTTCAAGGACTTTAAATACGTCAAGTTTAAAAACTGAATTTTTAATTATTTAATTATGGTAGTCTCTGATAAAATATAAATTTTAATCAATTGCCCGCAATTTCTCAGGGAAAAGATGTGAACCGAAACATTGTATCTATCTGAACATAATGGAAATAGTAGGAAGTAAAAAGAAAAACCCGCTTCGCCCAGCTCGAGCTGGTTAAATGTCAAAGGTAACTCCAGCAATCCCACTGCGCACTGGCGCCGCGACGCCCTTTTGCTTTTCACCAATAACCGATATTGGATCTAATCAAAGTTAGCATTGGACCCGTACCCCGTTGGGTGAAATAAACCAAAATTATGTTTTGGTCGCATTTTCAAAAAAACATAAGTTTTTTATTTTGGACATTATTGTAAATTAGAGCCTAAACTGCGTTCATAATAAACATTGTTTGCAAAATAATGTTCGTAGTGAAGGTTTTATAATACAACACAACATCACTGAACAGGATTTGTGAAAGCCTGTTGTCAACTCATCTTTGATGAGTTGGGCAGATCAAAGTCTCATTCATAATTAAATATATGCGTTTCATCACATTTCAAACTAATAAACATTCAAAATTTGATGGCTCGGTTGAATATGAAATTTCTTCGTAAGATAACAAAATGCATTCAATAGAGTAAAATATCTAAATTGATCTATACTTAGATAAAGTCACAATAATACTCTGCCAACTTTTGGCTTGTCTAATGGAAACAATGAAGTATTCATTCTAAGTATAGTTTTGTATTTTTATGAAGTTCTTGTAATACACACCTATTTAGTATGTACGTGGATGTATGTATCGTATTTCAGCATCGATATGAATTGATTTTTTTCATTTTTTTATTCTATACATACTTGATTTTATGTTTCATTGTATTTTTAGTTTTTACTTCCTTCTTTGGGCTCTATATTTTTCTATAATATATATTACCAAAAATTTTAAAATAAAAACCAAAGATTTTGTCTGATAATGTTGCAAAAACAACGTTAAATCAAAGAAAATTTAACATTTCAAGCTTTCACTTCTAGAATCAATACACAATATTTTTTTAATTTTTGGTTAAAATACTTATTTTTGAGTAATTTGTAAATTGCTTTCAGTATGAAAAATATCAAATTATTTCGACTATACAAGCTGTCTCAGCGACTGAGTAATGTTGTTTTCAAGTATACATTTTTGTTCTTTTTTAAAAGTATTAATTTTTTTTTAATCTCGATTTAAAAAACCTTTATTTTGATGTATAATACATGAAAATCTGTTGCATATTAAAAGAGTAATCTTGTTTTCAATATACTAACGTCTCGAATCGTTGATCGCGGACACCCTTAAAGTCCAATAAATGATAAATTTTTAAAAAATGTATATAGAAAATTCATAGATACTAATCTAAAATTTTGGGCGATTAGTATCTATTAATGTCCTATAAGGTAACTTAACCAAATAAGGCCCACTTAATTTTTACTATTTTTTATATATTTTTTGAAATATGCAAAGGTTTGGATTTATTATCGACATTGCAATTTGAACTTTTGTTTAACAATGTGTACCACAAAAATGCCTGTTATGTTAATTTTTTACATGTTTTTAACATAAATATAAAATATTACAGAGGGGCTTTTTTGGAATCTCCTAGCCCACCATTGACATTAGATAAGGCCCATATTTAAAATTTGAGGTAAGATTTTTCATTAATCGTATTAACAGTAAGTTAAGGAAAAAATCTTAAATAAACAAACAAAAAACAACATAAAAATACAAAAAAAGTAAAGAAACTTCAAAACATGTATTAATATGTAACTAGAAGTATTCAATTTTAACATAGATGGACATAGCTAGATGGTTTTAATTTTCTTCACAATTTAGACGAGAAATTAACGGTGGGCCTTTTTAAGCACCGGGCCTTATTTGCCTTATGTACAAGATCACTAATGGACTTTACCAATTCGCTGGGACATCCTGTATTATTTTGATTCATTTCATTTTCTGCAGAAATCAAATTTGGGAAAACCCTGTTTGTTTCATTTGATAAAAATGTAAATAAATTTTGTTTCTGTAAGTTTGTTTAACTGTTTCGATAAAATACCTTTAATTTTCAACTTCAACTGTATTTTTTAAAATCTGTTCTATCATTGATTTGATCCAATTTTTTGATTTTATCATTTAAGACGAAATTATCTCAATTTTAACAAAAAACTTAAATTTTTGTGTTGATTTTTCAAAATAAATTGAAATAATTTGGAGAGGAGAGGAGAAGAGAGATCAGAGCCACTACTCATGACATGGTAAAACATAACTTTAACCAATTTTATTTAATACTTTTATTAAAAACATAATTTTTTGATATTCCCAAATCTTTGAAAAATTACTCTTAACTATTTTATTCCAGTTTATTCCAATGAATCATTGTGGTTATAAAATAAAAAGTTTGGGTAGGTACAAAAAACTCTGACGCGTTAAGATAAAACTACACACAACCAAATTTATATGGAATCACCCTGTAACTCATATTAATAATAGGTTCTAGCAAAATATAAGTGTTATACTGAAAAAGACGATATTTGGTAGTAAATATATTAATCAGTCACAAAACTTGGATTTAGTTGTAAAATTTAATTTAAACTAATAACTTGTAAAATTGAGTATTACTATGCCTTATGTGGGATTATCAGATGTGCAGAGAGGGAAAACTATTGCTCTAATTGAGCAGGGCATGCCGCAAAGACAAGCAGCACTTACAGTGGGCGTTACACAGGGTGCTGTTTCAAAAATCTGTGCAAGGACTTGGAATTGGGTACACTCAAGAACAGGCCAAAACAAAGTCGTCAAAGGGTAACATCAGAGCAGCAAGACCGTTTTTTATGCCAAATCGTTAAAAGAAACCAGACTGTTTCGCATCCAAAGCTCCAAAGACAACTTTTGCAAGCTATCGGTGTTAGTGTCTCAGTGGAAACAATATGCAAAAGACTTCGTGCTCGCAATTCGTACAGCAGAAGTAAGTTGAGAGTTCCAGAGTTATCGAGTCACAACAAAATGGATCGGTTAAACGGGTGTACTGAACATGAAAATTCGACGATTCAAGATTGACAAAATGTCCATTCGCAAAATCAGATGACTGTAGAGCCCTAGGAAGAAAAGCTAGTCTTGCTGACGCTCTGTTCATCTGAATACTCTGAATAATAAAACTAATTAATAATAATAATTCGATGACGTATTTTAGTTTTTTCATGATCAAATATCAAATGCTAAAATGGTTAGAGACTTGTTACAATATTAATATTTTTAAATCACTTGAGTACTGTTAGCCAAACCATGTTATTTTATCAGCTTGAACAATAGATTTTCAAATGAAAACCGAACAATTCGTGCCAACAAGTTTGTATCTATAGAATATAACTTGGACTAAATATTGTATCTGGCTGGAAAGCTTCCACTTATTTCGTATACAAATAAAAAGTTCTATTTTTATATTCTCTGAACTCAGGAGTGCTGTTAATATTTTTTGGTTGATTCAGTTATATGTATACACACTTGGGAATCAATTTTTCTTAAAAAAAATGATTATTCAAGTTTTTTTACACCAACTTCAATATATGTTTCCTGGTTTTAATTTATTTTTTATTTTAAAGAACACTTTTACGAAGATGTTAGGTAGTTATACAATTTTGAAATATTAATTCTCCCTATTTTTGTATTTTTTATTTCACAGTTACACCTGCAACAATCACATTGGGGATTTCACACATCACCTATAATTTTATTATAAGGTTATATCATACATATAAAAACGCTATAGCTTCTTTAGTTCCTTATATTTTTATAAATTACGATTATTAATTATCACATAGTAAATAAAAAGGGAACAACATAATTCATAAATAAACTTTGATTCCACTTACTTAATTCATTTTGGGTCCAAAAATCTCATTTAGGTGCGAATTTACTTAATTCCCAAGTTCAGTAGTTATACAACCAGGTACTTCTAACACTAGTTTAACTAGATTACATAACGTAAAGTTGTATTGCATTTAACAAAAGGCAAATAATTCACTATTATGCCTATTATGTGTTTGATAATAGTAAACTGTCAATTTGACAGTAGATGACAAGTTGACAGCCGGTTCCAGGTGTGCCACAACAGCTTCATCGTTTCTACTTAAATACAGGCTTTGAATCTAGGGACTTTCGTGCCATCATATTGGCGATCAATAATTTACATACTTTGGGTGTTGTGGGTGTTGTATTTGATATTTGTTGAAATTGCCGAAGATTAATACACAAAAACATGTAAAAATACGCAATGTACAACACTGTGATTTTACTAGAACAACGTGCCATGGTTTTGTGTAGTAACAGAAAAAGTATTATTTTTTTACATAAACTTGTATAAGAATATGGAATTATGTGCATTAAAGGGGTACCATTTCTGTGCTTACTTTTGTGTCTTGTTGTAGTGAAAGGTTTGTTATTGATTACTAATAAACATGGTTTTATAATCCCAGTTTTAGGTGCAAAAATATCAGAATTTGGTGTCGATATTGGACGTAACTTAACACTGCCATGCCCAATACAGGATACTAAAGATGTTATGTGGGTCAGAGAGGAAAGAGAAGATCATCAAATATCACACATGCAAATTATAAACAATGGTTCTCTGTTTCTTTCTTCGGTTGAAAGATCTGACGCTGGGATATATGCTTGTTATAAAGCAAACAGTGTGGACGATGAAAAGGCTAGAATGAAAGTGGTTGTGAGGAGTAAGTAGAAGCTATTTTACTTATTTTTATAATTAGAAGGAATTTCAGCACCTCCACCAGCTTTGGGAAATGTGTCTGTGAGGCCAAGTTCTATTATTGCTTTAATCTTGTGGGAGGTCAATGGTACTGGAGGATATCCTATTATAAATTTTACTGCTCAATACCGGTTAGCTGGTTCTGATGGGGAATGGTTACCAATATCACCCAATCATATCACACCAAATTCAGTAAGTATTTTGCTTGTGAAGTACGTATTTTTTAACATTTCCCTATTATTGTACTTTCTGCAAATTACTCTTTGTACAATTGTTTCTAATTTAATCTAGTGAAAATAAAAGAATACTGTTGGTAAAAGTCAATAAGTAAAAATGCAGAGGTTAAGAAACAAGTCAATGTCGTTTTGATTAGACAAAATTATCAGTAAAACTTGTTTGACTAGAGCACTGTTGTAATCTATTTTAAGAAAATGTAGTATTCTGCATTTTGTAATTACTTTCTTCAAGAGTTTATCATCTAACATTTAAGGTTTATTTGACTTAAGACCTCAGATATCTACTTGTTTTTTTCAATTTTATTTTACAAAAAAGAGTTACATGAGTACAAAAAAACTTTTTAAGAATTCACTGTTGACCACTTTAAAACTTTTGTTGAATCTAATACCAAACACAATAATATGTAATGTAGAGGATAATCCACAAATTTTCAACATTGTGCAAAAGAACTAAGATTTAATTTCAACATTTTTTCTTGCGACCCTAACAGAAAGTAAGTTTTTTCACCTTAATTTTAGAAAGGAAAGTGGCAAATTACCTCTCAGGAAAGTATAAATGTTACCCTCCTCATCTATCAAAATTACAATAAAAATATTTGTAACCTCTCAGGGAAGTAAAAATTTACATCCACCATAGAAACGAAATAACATTCTGCTAGATTGGTCTTGGGAAATCAAAAGAAATTGTTAGTTTTGAAGTATTTCTTGCTGGATTGTAGGAAAAATTATATGTATTACACTGGAGGTAAGTGTTTTTTCTTCCCTGGGTGGTAAATTGTCCGAAATCTCGGGCAGTAACTTCCATCAAGGAGAGGAAAAGATACACTTTCATCCCTTGCAACGCAAAAAAGTATTTTCAATCTTTGCAGAGACAAATCGACGTGTACAAACTGCAGCCTAATACAAGCTACGAGTTTCGAATCTGGGCCACTAATAAACTCGGTAGGGGCGAAATAACAACAGTTATAGGTACTACTTCACACGAGTATCGAGAAGAAGGTAGGAATTAGCATTGTTTATATGGATGTTTAGTTTTTGTTGCATATTGATTGGTGTAGTTAGTATAATGGACCACTTTTAAACCGTAAATTGCTGCTTTTATTTATTTTAAGTTCACAAGTAATGAGCCAAACGCTTAAAACAAAGTGGTCAATTGTAGCCAAAGTGTAGAAAAAAATGTTTTTTAATTTAGAATTGGCTCGACGTATGTTAGCTGGAGCCGATAAATTCGACACGAGAGTGTGGGCCGTAGCCGTGGGAATTGTCATGGGAACACTTATTTTACTCGGATTGGGAACATGTTTCTTATTGTACCAAGAATGTCGCCTTCCTAGTGGTAAGTTTAGTGAAATTAGTTTCCAACATTTTGCTCGAATAATCGTATTTTAAATCGAGATTACTTCGCAGTTCCAGAAGAACAAGAGATTATAGAACTAGTTCCAAATATTATACTGAACCCCGGCTTTGAGGGCAACTTGCAAAGCGAGCAACTGCCCGCTGATGAAAATTCTAATAATGAGACGCCTTTGCGTTTAAACAATAATACGGTAGTGCAGCCTAGAAACGTATAGTTTTTTGTTTGTTTTTATAAAAACAGGAAATTTGGACACGGTAGGTTGATACTCTAGTTCATCTCGTATGCTTGTGTTCAAGGGCTTTGCCTGATCATATTGTGATTTAACGTTAGATATGTTAAGTTTTTAAATGTTTTTTTAGTTGAGTCTATTATGTTGCGAACAATTTTATTGCAGTTACCTTTATTCTAGTCATTTTTCGCATAATTTTAGATCAAAACCATTTTGTAGTCTTGCGCATTTACAATACAAATTTACAAAAATATAATGGCTTCCAACGTCTACACGATTGGTTGTAATTGTCACAGATCTGCAACATATTTTTATAAACCGTTTTCTAGACAGTATTTTATTTTTTACGTTGCCAAATCTGATAAGATTATGGTTTTTCGTTTCTTTTTATAGTCATTTATTACTGCAATTATAATTTATGGTTATTAATTTCTTTGTAAAAGCTCTATCAAACCCGAAAATATAAAAATAATTAATAGTTTTTCGTAATAACTTACGTCAAGTAATAAAACTACAAACAATAGACTTTTTCCAACACTAATATGATCTTATACTGTTTCTATGGTGCATTTAAACTTACCTTTTATGTAGCCCCTAATATTCGCTCTATACGTCGTGAATGACGACATTTTGTCAATTTTAACATTATTTTGACTAATTTCTTTATAATCATTTTTGAATTTAGTAAAATTTCTGATCTAATATTAGTGTTGAAAAAATTTTTGAAGACAACATGACTTTTATAGCTTAAAAATCTCGCTCTATTTAAAATTACGACTTTGATTTTTAAACTGTCTATAAAACTCGTGTTGTCTTAATAAATAATCTAATTGTAGCATTTTCTAGTTATATGAACTTTTTATTTTCTTTATTTGTTTATTACAAACACATTTATCATAATCTTATTAGATTTGTGGCTCCTGCATTAATTTTATTTGACTGAAAGTAGAAAAATGTGTTGCTTTTTATTTATCTTTAAATTTTGATCACATAGAACGTTTATAAGTTTAGTTTAGTTTTTACACTCGGAGTTGTGAATACTTAGTTCCAAGTGCAAGGTTGGCTTATAAATCTTGTACCAGCAAATAGATAGTTACTTGAACGAGGTTGTAATTTTTTTCTTGTGCCTAATAGTTACGGCAAATAATAGGTAGCATATCATTTAGAGCTGTTAATACTCATTTATTTAACGCAATAATTTTTTTGTTTAATTTTCTTCAATGAAAAACCATATGTTGTGAAAATGTATCAGTGCCTATGATAGTTTGATAATACTTGTAATAGCTTTGAGCACATTTTGTGACAAAATAGTTATAATAATCACAGACTGATTTTTAATTTTCTAATATAATATAGAAAGTAAATGCATTGTGCATTTATGTCTTAAAAGCTTTGTTGTAATAAACTGCGTGGCATTGTATAAACACTGGTTTTGCGGATGGTGTTAAATCAGAATTTTAAGCAATGGATTGTAAGATAATAACATAAGGCTCAAAAGAATACATGTTTTTAACTAATTTACAATTTATCTATAAGTGGTTGAAACCAATTAAAATAATAATTAAACTAAATTTCAAAACAGCCTTATATTTTTCTTTTTTTAATTACGGTGGAACAAATTTCTGTAAAAACATTTTTTTTGCAGGAAATTGTTTATTTTATCTTTTTGCTAACATATATATATTGAAGCAATATTTAACCATTTATAGATAGATTCTACAAATCAATCAATCGATGTTTACAGTTAATTGATGGAAATTGTGGAAATCATCTTACAAGCTGTTAAATAATCTCCCAAATGTTTTAAACTAATTAAAATAAAACAGAGATAAACGAAGAAGAAAATAGGACATGTACCAAAATTATTTTCTCACTTTTATTACATAGAAATAACAAACTCAGACCCACTCCATGATAAATTTTGGGAGATTAGGAAATCACTCATTGATTCATCATTCACGCCATCACTCGCGAACATTGCAAAATTATGAACATTCTAGTGATAAAAATGATATTACAATGAACTTGGAAAAGTTGTTATGGAACATTATTAAAATCTGAAATACTTATAGGTACATACATAATACTTATTTATAATTATTAATATACAAACAAAACTCCAATAAACGTTTACTCCGAAAAAAGGGAAACTTTTTAGTTGATTGGGCAGTAAACATTATTGGATCATTTGCATTTGTTTCATGTTAATATGCGATAGATACGATCATATTTATACAGTGTGCTTTTATACAAATACCATTTTACTTGTAACGTGTATGTCTTTGTATTGTCATATTCATATCTATACATAAAAATTAAATCGATGTATAAAATTAATTTTGATACAAGTTATCAGTGATACCTAATCGACTTTCGTGTATTTTGCTGTATTTATTTTTGGTCATGTATGTATACTAATTGCTTCCTTTAGGTTTCATCATCAATTTGGCTTTGTAATGTTAGATGAAATCTTAAATAGGGTGATCTTCCACATGCGATTTTTGCGAAAAAGACGGTGTTTTAAAGCCTCATTTTGTTACCAAATTAAATCTATACAGGGTGTCGCCATATGTAAGCTCGTCGAGACAAGATCGATACTGTAATATTTGTTACACATTTCTAAAGGTTGGATGCTAAGAAGTGTTGGCTTATTAAAATATCCAATTATGTTTGTTTTTGGTGGATTTGGTGTTGTTTTAAACGTTTTATTGCTGGTTGCAATTTACTGTTATGCAATATAAATTATTTTGATAATTAACAACTAACAATAGGTTCACTGTTACAACAAGTTATAAATCAAACGGAAAAATAATTGACTTTTCCAAACATGTGCCTTTGTACCAGCTTGGTACTTTGAGCTGGTTGAACCAATTAGTGTCACTGGTTCAAATGTCAAAATTTTAAACTTTTTAAAGGGCGTAATAGCAAATACTACCAGCATTATAAAAGATTCTTTCTAGAAAATTGTTATTATTTTTAACATTTGTGCCAACAGTCACACTTTTTCATTTGGTTTGATAAACGCATACCTCATATTTAAAAAAAAAAAACACATATCACGAAAACATCTCATCAAAACTTTTCCTCTCAGCCTTGTAGAACTGTGTCTCAAATATCCGATTTTAATTTTTGGCTTTGATCTCTTCAACCAGCTACACAAGCGATTTTATGTATAGGTTATAAATTAAGAACAAAGTGCTTAATTCTAATAGAATTCGGAAAAATTTTATATTAAATTTTTATATAATAGGTATTTTAATAATGGTTGTGAGCATTACCTGACAATTTTAATTCTCTTAGAATTAGGCTGAGTACTAATAATAATTAGATTTTTAGCATTTATTAGTCCATTTTACATACCATTCAGCTTAATGACTACCACACAGATATTTTTGTATCATCTCGAATACACTTTTAATTGTTCCTTTTTTGTGTTTATGTTGATTAGGTTGCTTATCATATGTAAATATTATTATGCTATTTAGTGTATTAAAATATTTATTGAAAATTTGTTGGTATCTTATTGCTGTCCTGTTCTTAAAAAGTTGAAAGCTTGTCAACTGTGATATTATTTTTACTCAGAAGAAGAAAAATCAAGTACAAAGGTAATTATCACTTTGAAATAAAAAATATGTAATTATCTAATTGCTTTTCTTTTTGTAAGTAGATAACAGCCGTTTTAAGCACAAAAGTAAGGACAAATTCTTTACGTTTTATATGCAACTGTCGAGGAAAAATTTTATATTTACCTCTTTCGAGACGCTCTGTAGAAATAGTGATTGGTTTTATTGTTACATGCTAGTCGTACGTCAATAATACCCAGTTTTTTTTTTTAATATTTCATACAATGTTATTAAATTAGAAAAACTTCTTAAAATATGTAGACTACAAATTTTTTTTGAAAGTGTACCTACTTTGAAAATGCTATCAAAACAATTTTTTGTTTACGAAAAAGGGGTGGTGCCAGATTTATGTTCATAATTCAGTTTAACTAAGATTTTTTTGTCAATTTTGATATGTTGTACTTAGGTATCTTTTTCATAAGTTAACATAAAAACATCTTTTTTCTTATTTTATTCTTACACTGAAATTTAATTTTACGCCGCGACATTACTTCAGTGTGTATATAAAAATTAATAAATTAATAAGTATCAGTTTTAAATTAGTTGTGTGTTGTGTTAATAATAAAATTAAGTTTTTTTCTTGTTTTGGATCACGGAACTCACGTTTATCTTATTGTTGATAAGAAAAATAAAAACAAATGTTTGTTAATATTCTCAAGCCATATGCCATATACCTATTTCAATATTAGGTTTGAATTTATTAATATAGATATAGATAGAATACTTTCAAAGTGTAGGATAATCTGATTTGCATCTACATATTAGTGCTAATTTTATGTTTTTTTAAATATTTATCCCAATTTACACGATTTCTGAGTCCTTGGCGCCGTGTCGGAAGTATTTTTCCGCTCCACAAGTGCTGTAAAAGTGTAAAACTATATGAAAACAACCAGCGCATGGCCAGTAGATTGAGATGGAAGATGTTTCAGTCACCTAGACGCATGACCGCGCTACGTTTTGTTTTGATAGTGTGTAAAATCGATAATTCCTATTCGTCTAGAGCAAATGGTGGGGCTAAAGACGTGGCTCAACGTGGTGTGATAAATCTAAAGGGCATAGAAACACCCCACCTCTACAATCAATTACGTTTCTTGGTCATTGCTGATTCAGTTCTGTTATTCCCATTCATTATGTGATACGAAATTGCTTGGTAGGGAGTTGCAAAACATCGAGGAGAGCGCTCATTTACGAGTTATTTTTAGTCAGAATAAAATTGACTGTGGTGAATGAAAGTTTAACCTTAAATCTGTTTATGTGCTTTTGAAATATAGAGAATTGTGGAAAATATGCCTGAAAGTAAATTACAAAACGGCCGGACGAAACCTATCCGGGTTTGGTGCGATGGGTGGTAAGTGGATGCCATATATATTTTTTTTAATAAGATATAATAAATAACTACCAAACATTGTTTGCTGGAAGATTTTACTGTAAAATACTCATAAATTAGAGTAACCTTGTATTTTTCCACACTTCTAATTATTCCCAAATTAGGCACTTCGGGTTAATAAGCGGGTTTACAATACAATTAAACGGGGATAAAACTGTTCAAAATCATTTCTTTTTATTACAAGACTTTTATTGATTTATAGTTAATTTATTACTGATGTAGATTGTTGCAGGCATTTTTATTGAAACAGCTGAATCCCCTATGGCACAGTCAAGTTGCAAAAAATAAAACAATTTTGATTTAATCCAAATTGGAGCTAATTGTAATCATCTCCGGTTATCACACCCACTAACAAATATCTATAAAGCTCAAAAGGCTCAGGTCATAACTTTTGAGGCGGAAGTGGGGCAATATGCAGTATTTTGTTGATTTATACTCATTACAATCAGTACAACCTCTGGGATAAAATTTCTACAAAAATAGAATTAAAGATAATGCGTAGTGTAAATAAATAATTCTGATAACCTATTTGTATTTCTACAATTTGGTGATTTTTGCTTACGAAAATTTTCTCCAAATTAATAGTTAGGAATCAATTAACAAATTAATAGATAGAAAAATCAAATTTAGAACATTTTGTTTTTTTTTATAACATTGGAACACTGTCAACAAAGAAACATAATAATTATGTCTGGGTAATTTATTACTATAAGTAAATAGTTTTCCTTCAGCCTATTTCCCAGTACTAAAAAGTAAAATAATTTATGATTACAATCGTATATTGAGTGCAAATTGATTGATTTCCCGTTATTGTGTGTTAAGTAATTGTTATACTACATACCTATCCTATCAGTTTGTTTTCAGCGATTTGTTTACAAACAAATTGCAATTTCTAAGCATGACACAATTAAAATTTTTACAAGCTTTGACAACTTTTTGTCATTGTTTAGAGTATATGATTCATTGATTAGCAAATTATGATGTGAAACAAGTGTTCGGAAAAATTTCTAGCAATCAAAAAATTTGTTATCTGGATTTTTCAGTGGTCACTTAAGTGACTAATCTGATTTCAGGCTTAAGAAGTACATTCACTGATTAGTTTCTTTTTTCAAAATTTTTTGTACTTAATAAGATATTCTAGTTAGGTAAGACTTACTCAGTAAATATTGAAATGATCCATTTTTATTAATGAACAATAAAAAAACATTTATCGATATCTACAGGTGCGCCCGAACTCGCGCCCCAGAGAAAAATTTCAAGTAAGATAAGATACCAGGATCATGGAAAAAACTCTATCTGCAAAAAAATTTTGACATTTAAAGTGAGTTACAATTTAAGATACAGCTTCCCTCTTTCCTCTTCTAATGGTCTCTAGCAAAAAAAATTGGAAAATTATTTTTTTAACAGAAATAAAAGAGTCAAAATGCAAAATTTAAACTCTCATAACTTTGAAATTTTTATAGATATTTTTTTTTTAACATTTTTTCCATGTTCCTAGTATCCTACCGTATATTTTACTCTGGGGCGCGAGTTCTGGTGCACCCTGCATAGGTATTATAAAAATGTACAAGAATGGACGTACGACTGTTTGAGTTGGCAATACTGTGACTATAAAAAGTCTAAGCCAAATTTATGTATTTTTTGTTTCTCTAATAAAAAAAATGTATTATTAGAAAAAAAATTCTATCGAATTATTACAAACCACGCAGAACCTAAAAATGTTCAGCTTGACAATGAAAAAAATTAAATTTTGACTTTTGTTACCACCCTCTGGCTCAGATGGTGCAAAAAAACAAAATAAAATTTCAGTTTTTAAAACACTTTTACTGATATTCAGTTTCTAGATAGTACACAGTAAAAATTATTGTAGAAATATTTTTAATAATTTTTTTGTTTTTTGCTAAATTTTTTTTTAAATTCTATTAGATCGATCAACTGAGAAAATCTCTTTTTTAAATTTTAGTTATGACATGGTCCACTTTGGTCACGCCAATTCGCTCCGCCAAGCGAAAGCTTTGGGAGATTACCTAATAGTTGGTGTCCACACCGACGAGGAAATAACAAAACACAAAGGACCTCCTGTATTTAATCAAGAGGAACGATATAAAATGGTCAGAGGCATAAAATGGGTAGATGAAGTTGTGGAAGGAGCTCCCTATGTCACAACTTTGGAAACATTGGACAAATACGACTGCGATTTTTGCTGCCACGGGGATGACATCACCATGACCGCAGATGGAGTAGATACTTACCATTTAGTGAAAACTGCAGGACGATACAGGTAACTAGCTTTACAATTATTACAATGACATAAGCTAATTATGTTTTCGCCTCGTTTAGAGAAGTCCAAAGGACTGCCGGCGTCTCTACCACTGACCTCGTCGGCCGCATGCTACTCCTAACCCGCAACCATTTCCGCCAAGGCGAACGCGAATACGAGGTGGAAAAGGAACATTCCTCCACAATGGGTCAAGACTCTTTAGCGAGGTCGCCGTGGACCGGCTGTTCCCAATTTCTACCCACCACTCAAAAAATCATCCAGTTTTCGGACGGAAAACCACCCAAACCAACCGATAAGGTTGTTTACGTGGCAGGAGCTTTTGATCTCTTCCATGTGGGTCATCTCGATTTCTTGGAAAAAGCCAAACAACAAGGAGATTATCTCATCGTGGGTCTTCACACCGATCCGGTTGTTAACCGGTACAAAGGCTCAAATTACCCGATTATGAATTTGCACGAGCGGGTTTTGAGTGTGTTGGCTTGTAAATACGTTTCAGAGGTCGTGATTGGTGCACCGTACACCGTAACCAAAGATTTGATGGAGCATTTTAACGTTGATATGGTCGTGCATGGATGCACTCCGATCATGAATGACGTCGACGGGAAGGATCCTTTCGCGTACCCGAAACAAGTGAAGAAGTTCATCACTGTTGATTCGGGGAATGATATGACGACAGAGAAGATTGTCGATAGAATTATCAGGAATAGATTAGAGTTTGAGACAAGAAACTTTAAAAAGGAAAAAAAGGAGCTGGAATTGATTAAATTTCTAGAGAAAGATAAATTGAACGGTGATCTAATTGATGTCGGCAATTAAATTACATTTTTTTTTTTTTTAATATTGAGTACAAATCAACCTCAAATTTATTATTACATTTTGCTTTCCTAGTCGACGTTGTACCAAATATTTTTAAAGGCCAGGACACAAGTTGGGGAAGTATGGAATACGTTTGTGATAAATATTTTGTTAATTAAATTTGCAATTTTTTTATTGGAACACGTTGACTCATCATACAAACCTTGACTAGTTTAAGTATTTTGCATGATGTCACTTATATGGCTTCATTGTGCTTTGAGAGAAACCTTAGATGTTGGACAAGGTGGTTTTAGATGTTATAACGTATTTATCTTCTTATCCCATCTTGTATTTTATTTATTATTTTGTTATATTTATTTTACACTATCAAGTGGTGCACAAAAGGAAAATTTTAGGATCACTATTTTCATATAAACGGGAATTTAGCTTGTTTGCAAGGAGACAATACTTGATCTCTCAATACCGAACATAAATGTATGCATACTCATTAATTTTAATAATGTGCAACGTTTTATAGATTATTTGTTCTTAAATGGCCATTTTATTTTCCATTATCTACATTATAGGTCTCTTTCCGTACTGTATTAAATATTAAATAGGTAGTTTGATAACAAAATCCAAATCCATAGTATTTTGTTTTTATTATCTTCACTAGTGTGTTACGTTGTGATATTTATGTATTGGCTGTTTTTGTACATGATAGAGATTCTACTTTCTGCATTTTAGTCTTCTATTGTATGGCATTTTAAAATTTTAATGGAAAGTAATGACTAGTAAAAGCTTTATATGTTACGTGATTTACACATGCTTATATTTTTATCTCATTTGTCGAGAGGAATTCAATGTTACTGTGAATATATTAGGCAAAATTTATGTTTATTTTCTTGTTGGCAAAATGTTATTTGTATATAATATATTTTTCTGCAAAAATATTTTTAGTCTTTGCTTTCATCGATTGCGGGGGTAGAAACAGAGTGAAATTAAATACAAGTGAGTGGGAATTACTAAATAAGTAACTAAAAACATGTTGAAAGTTTATTGTTTACAAATCAATTTTTCATGTATTTTCCCCAATTTGCATTAATATTTTTACAACGATTCCGCAATTCCCAATTTACCATAAATATCATATATACATTTTGTTTTACAAGTAAAAAAAATTATACGATTACCTACCCGAGAATTTAAGTATTAATGATTAAACAACTTAAACTGTTACTTTTTTATATTTAGAATTGTAAATCGAGAATAAATTGTTTAATCTTTCCAGTACCTTTCGAGTAATTTGTTTTAATTACAACAGAAAAATACAGGCTAAGTATTTAAACTTTGTGATAACCTTTTATACATTTTTCTATTGATTGGTATTAAATGTGACATATTGCCCCCATAACAAATGTGTCGTAATAACCCAATATATTTAAAATTAATCATATCTGCGTAATTGATATGTAAAACTGCTATGTAGAGATGCCGATTTTTTGGAAATTATTCTGTTTTTAAATCTATCGGGTCATTTAAAGAATAAATAAATACTACTATGCATAAATATACAGGATGAACAAGTATGGATCACAAATTATTTAAAAATTATTCAAAAACACGGTTATTTTTAATCTTTTTTTAATTATACATTATTTATTGATAATAATACAGTACAGTTTTTATTGTAGGTTGTTAAAATGTAAAATTCGAAAATAAAAAGAAACTTAAAAAATTGTAGCATTTTACCTTATTTTAGAAAGATTAAATCATACTTTTAAGTTTGTGTTCATTCTGTATATTGTAATACATTATTTATTCACACACTTTTAAAGATATTTCATACAATTATTATTTATAAAGTGTAAGTTGTGCTTAAAAGATTTTTTAATTACTTTGTTCCTACCATAACAGATACAAATGAAATAGCTATTCATAATAAATAATTTACGTATAAATAAATAAATAAATAATAAATATTTTGAAAAACTAGTAGTTATTATGTACTTTAGAAGTCAGTCTGAAATGTTTGATAAAAATGTATTGTTCCAGGATTTGAGAGCTGGAAATTCTAGTTACTTTAGGAACTTACTCGCTACGTTTTTTGGTTTAAATTAAAAAGTGCTAACCCGTTCTAAATTTCATTGCGTTGTGGCTCGTCCTGTATACCCCGACTCCGAATAATGTCGACTCTCCCTTACCAACTCGTCAATATTTTTACTCGTATTAACAGTCCCTATGAGCGCCGAGTGTAACCTGGACGCCAACCAACACATAACAAACGCAGACAGAAACAACAAACAACCTAAAATTGCAGCAACTGCTAAAAAAGTACTACACGAGCTTTCCATTGCTGCGGTTCGATGGTAGAACTCTCCAGGCATCAACACGGTGTATTCGAGATTCTCCTTAATTTTCGTGTACTGGATGGTGGCGTTGTGCTTTTGCAAATCTGAGGGGAGTTCAGGGGCTTCGATGGCTTCTACGTCACGACGCTTTCGTCCGTGTCCTGAAGGTTCGAATAAGTCTAAGCAGAAGTCGGGTTGACAGTCGGCTGGATCCATGCAAGCTTTTATTTGGGAGTGGATCCAGAGAGTCGAGCGTTCTTTCATCGTGCTAAGGAGGAAGGCTTCGAAGTCGAGGAAAACTTCGTTGTGGCGTTCGCGATAACGGGCTGGCTGGTGGGGGATGATCGAGGCGAAGTCGCGGTTGCGACAGCTAGAAAAAACTAGTTAAAATCCGATCTTTTAGTGCACGTTTATCTTGAGACAAATAACACTACCCAACAAATTTTATTTTTTTTTAATGTGATTGGTCTATTAACACGTGTATCAGGGTATATTAACATCCCTAATTACGAATTTGATAAGAAAAATTCTCCATCACGTACAGATTTTAAGTTACAGAAAAATAGTTTCCTCAAATTTTATCGTAAAAATTGTTCATTTCAAATAGAAATTAATTAAATAGGCGACGAAAGAAATTAATTTATTCACTAAACAAGAACAATGTTGAAAGATGTATAAGATTCTAAACATAAATCTGTTGTAGATGAGTTTTTTTGCAAAAGCTGACTTTCTTTTGTAGAGTGTTTTAACTTCCCTTATCAGGAACCAGCAGTAATCCCCCATCATAGCTGGATCCCATCTGCCTTGGAACCTCTTTTCCATCGTCAATACAGGCTGTTCCGTCTAAACCCCACTTTAGAAGTATTGGGAGTTGGAATAATTGTATTTATTTGAAAATTGGTACTTAGCCATTAAGTCCTCCTAAATGAAAATATTTCCAAGATGGCGGCACTTCCGGTATACCGGAAGTCGGTCTCAACTTTCTTATTTTAAATGGAAAGGTATATTTTTTACTGCGTTTTTGGATTAATCGGGTTATTTTAAGGGAGTTTTCATTAGCTTTCTCTATACCTAAATTTAGCCGTTTTTAAAATATTTGGAGTTTTTCAAAAATTTTTGGATATGCACCTTCCACTTTAAAAACCGGTAACTCTGCCATTTTTTAAAATTTTAAATTCGTTTTTTTGGCGTTTGAAAGAGAAAGCTCAGATCCTTTTTCTGGTGTTTTCAAATTTTGAAAAAAAAACATATCCCAAAATTTTAAGGTTCCTTTTGTAATAATTCAAATACTCATAACTCAATTTTTTCAAATAAAATACCCCAATTTTTGTTTTACTAAATGGAAGAGAATTTAATTGTGCATTGATCTGTATTAACATTCCCTATACCTAAATTTAATAATTTTCAAGTTATGGACTTTTTTTTTAATACTACAGAAAATTTATTACTAGCCATACCCGTTTTCACATAGTTTGCAATGGGAATCAAAAATGTCAAAATTGTTTCTCGTCGACAGTGCCAAAATATGGAGAATCAAAGTTAAGCAAACTTAATTATTATTGATAGGTTCTACCATGCAATCATTATTTAAAGCTAACAAGTGAGAAAAACTTATTTTTGTTCAATGAACGATATCATAATTTTGTTACACTCTCCATAAATACAAAATAAATTAATTAAATCTAAGTTTGAGTAGCTTTGACTCTCCATATTTTGGCACTATTTGTCAAATAATAAGTCACTGTCGACATTTATTGAGAAAAAATTTTGACATTTTTTATTTCCATAGCAAACTATACGAAAACGAATGTGGCTAATAACAGATTTTCGGCAATCTCAACAAAAAGTCACCATAACTTAAAAATTATTAAATTTAGGTATAGGGAATGTTAATACAGATCGATGCAGAATTAAATTCTCCTCCATTTAGTAGAATAAAAATTGGGGTATTTCATTTGAAAAAATTAAGTTATGGGTATTTGAATTATTACAAAAGTAACCTTAAAATTTTGGGATATGTTATTTTTTTTCAAAATTTGAAAACACCGAAACAAAGATCTAAACTTTCTCTTTCAAACGCCAAAAAAACGAATTCAAAATTTTAAAAAATAGCAGAGTTACCGATTTTTAAAGTGGAAGGTACAGATCCAAAAATTTTTGAAAAACTTCAAATATTTCAAAAATGGCTAAATTTAGGTATAGGGAAAGATGATAAAAACTCCCTTAAAATAACCCGGTTAATCCAAAAACGCAGTAAAAAATATACCTTTCCATTTAAAATAAGAAAGTTGAGACCGACTTCCGGTATAACCGGAAGTGCCGCCATCTTGAAAATATTTTCATTTAGGAGGACTTAATAGATTATGAGTATGTACCAATTTTCAAATAAATACGATTATTCCAACTCCCAATACTTCTAAAGTGGGATTTAGACGGAACATCCTGTATATCCTGGTGGAACCTTTCCCCTTGCTCGTCACTGACCGCACCCAAATTTGGGGGAAATTTTTTTTTAATGAGAATGGAGAAAATGAATTTTAAGTGTTTCGTTTTTCGGCGATTTTTCGAACATACTTACATATGATATCTTAAAATGCCTAACTTTAAAATCTGACGTGCTATGGAATTTTCTTTATCATTTTTGAGTTTAGCACATAGAATTGAACAAAAAATAACTGTTTTCTTCTCAGGCTAGTGTAATTGTTAATTGCAAAGAAACACTAGCTAATTTTATTACCGCAATTAAAGCTAAAATGCATTTACACACAATTAAATTTATTGCTTTGGAATACAAACCCATCTTTGACGAGTGCAACACTTCCAATCATATGCGGGTCATCAGGGTCTGGACTGACGGTCACCTCCATCAACTTGACATACTTCCAAGCAGATTCAGGACTGATGCGGGCTCGTAGTTGAAGCTTAGTTCCAATAGGTACTGCTTGATCTACTGGAAGTTCATTATTTGTTGCATTGCTAACTCTGGCTGGAGCTTCTTTGTATAGAGCTACTTCGTATTCCAGACGACCAGGAGTTTCTTCTACTACTCCTGACACTCGTGCTCCGTGAGGACTAAACAATGGAATATGTCATTGTTTATTTAAGAAAGAAAAAATTCCATCAATATTTTTACAGTAATTTTGGGAATGTTATTTTTTACCAAGCAATAATAATTATTTCGTGTTAGTATAACTGTTGTGGGATGGAGTTAATGGAAATGACATTTTGGTTTGTTCAAACGAAAACCACATCGTTTTGCTTCTTAGGTTTACAGTAGTCATAAACAATTCATTCTTGTTCTACTTTGCAAAAAGACCACAAGAAAATTAGGCATGTACTTACAAACTACCAGCAAAACCAGCTGCCTTGTTTTCAATAACAGTTGGTTCCGGCGGCTTGCACATAATAATAAGTTCTTGATCCGATTGCATCACCACACCGGCAAACTGGGGAAACCATACCCTAACATGGACAAATCCCTATAACATTTTTATTAAAAAAAGTTTCATATTTTTGAACTGATCTTACGTTACGTTTCAGAACACCACATCTGCTAAAATCTGTGATTTTGAGATTATACTTTAAGCCAGTGGGATCTGTGAGATCAGGTTTTATCTGGCAGACGTGGTCTGTTTCCGGGTCAACTCCTCGGTCGTCTGCGAAGAGAGGATTTCCTTTAAAGCCGTCGGGTTTTCTTAATTTCGCTATGATTGAGTCTCGAGTGCCTATGCTATTGCCGCTGGCGAATGTGCACTGAATTTCTGTCACTGTAATGAAATTATATTATAGTTGTTGGACTTCTAAAACCGATGTAATCTCTAACGTTTTTAAATCTTTCTAATGCCAGTTTTGTGTTTCGCTTATCTTACTGTTATTCTTATGACTTCGTGCATCGCACAGAATAAGCAATTTACTCGTATCTTTAATAAAGCAATAATTCTAGTAGAAGTTAATGCAGAATTGCTGCTTTTCTGCTCGATTTGTACTATCTTGATCATAATCTGCCAACTGGCACGTCTGGTTAAATCGTTACGGTTTCTGTGTGTAAAATGCGTGCCATTCGTTTACATTTTATACCTATCTGATACTTTTTTCATTGAATAATTGAATTATAAGATTTTTGTAACGGTTGATAGTACTGGAAAGAACAATAATACATGTTTCTTATAATTCTCACGTACATATATTAGTTATATTAGAAATTTGTAACTTGTGTTGATATAAATAAATATATAAATTTTATTATTTTTATATAA